GGTGTGATTGATAACTGCCTTTGGTTGCTGTCATTGTTGTCATATTGACTGTTTCTCTGCCTAACCTTGTAGTTTATTCTTTTTCCGACCGGTTGATGGATTGAGCCGATGCTTATATATCCATCGATTACCAACTGATATGAGTGCCAAATTTCTGGGAATTTTCTGGCTTTCTCCGTGTTTCTTCCATCCAAGATCTCTACATTATCAAAATCAAATTCATGTCCATAGTTGTGCACATGTGTTGATATGAACGCCGAATAGTCGTGACGTTTAATAGCCAATTAATATTCATATAAACGAAGGCGAAGACGGCGATCCGTTTTTCCAATTTTAGTGCATTTGATGTCGTAAATAACATTTAGTTTGTCTTTGGCTGTTGCGTCCTTCGGTCTGCAAAGTATGGTTTGAAGGGAATTTTTTGGCTTATGAGCCACACTAATTCCAAGCGGTCCCAGTAGTCTTGCCGTGATTTCTGACGTGTTCTTAACGTATGGTAGAATGATCCGTCTGATCATTTCTGTGGATGACTTTGTCTGTATATCTTAACATAAGTTGTTAGATAAAGACCAATGTATTCCATCAGACTTGAACGTCGAAGTTTTGTGTTCCTCGAGCCTTAAATCGTTAGTCAAGAAGAGAGACATAGTATCCCTAGGCAGTTGCAGTTCAGTTGATATTCATAAGGATGTGAAGTCGGAAGACACCATTAGTACGTTGTTTTCTATGTTACTACTTTTATTCCTTTCGGAAAAATTTGGCAGTGGTTTGATGCAATGTTTACTTGAATCCAAAAGGTATTTTAGTTTTCTCGATAGGTCTCTGAAGCGATTGTTGACCGGAGTATCGGTCGTCTTAGAAAAATGTCTGGTTTGTGTATATTTGGTCCATCGTAAAACCGAGGAAGGATAGATCCATTCGGTTTCATTCGTTATTTGTCTTGTTTTTTTTTACTCATCCTGCTTTGACGAACTTGTTTAAAGTTTTGGTGATCTGGTTGTTAAACTTTTTGATAGCGTTAGTCTCAAGTGGTTGATACGTAGTTTCGTCTTTAGGTGACTGCTTGGCCTTCTCGATGTTGTCTCCCTTATCCAAGACAACATTATGGAGGCCGATTTACTGGAAGACGAGAATGCGGAGACTAAGCTACTACGTGTTTGACGTTTTAAATCTCACTAGTCCACTTTTGTTTTGGCTTTGTCAAGCACCTTAGTACTAGCAATCTCGAATGACGACTTAACATCAAAAGTCTTTTCATAAACTTATCAAGCTTTCAGTGTTGAGGAAGTTGTCTTCGGTCTTGCTTAGTGAGAGTTTCTAAATGAAAACTGATACCTGGTTTTTCAAACTTAATTGAAACAAGGTAAATCGTGGGTTGTTATTTTGATGTAATACGGTTCATACAGCAGAAACTCTTGTTCTTATACTTGAGAAATATCAGATTCTGCGGAATAATTTATTCTGCTTATGGAAACCACTTAGCTGATGCAAGCACGTAGTTATTCCGTATCCGAAATATATCGGGCTGCACCAAAGTGTTCACAAAGTATGTGTTCTCGTTTGTCAGTATTGCTACACGTACATTAAAGGTGTGAGCATATGGTAGATTTCTTGATATGTGTTCACAGCCTCTACCAGAGAATTCCTATTCACTGCCTTCACGTGGCGAAATGGATTTCCACAGAAGCGGAAGCGCAAAACCGAATGTCCAATGCTTATCACTTGGTTAGTGGTTACTGAAGGTCTACCTAGGGGAGTTGGAAACCCTTGATTCCAAACCAATGGTGCTCATAGACTCCATTTTCCAGATGGAACGAATGGCGTATGAACCAATTTCGGTCACCCACAGCCATGAGAATGCAGCTCCTGATGTTGCTCTGTTGCCTTGTGAATTAGACTTTTAGTCAAAGGCTCGCGGAGTAATATCCTAAGACAACCACCTGCTTCGGTCTGCTCGCCCGGGCAGTATATCAGCCCCCACCCAACTTTTCTGGGAATGTGCAAGCCTTCCACACCGCGAACACCATAACTAATTGTTCCACTTATTGCTATTATATTGCTTTTGTTGCTTTTACATCTAAGCTGTATTTTCTTTATTATTATCATCTTCACTTTTGTTGTTATCTTCATTTCACTCAGCTGTTCTCTATTGCTAAGACTTCTGGTCTGCCTTTACCATTTTGAATCGCTAAACGGTTGACGCCCTAAGCTCTCCTCCACTGTGACATCTGACACAAGTATCCTGAAGTCATGCATCCTGTTTAAGCTCACTACCTTCAACGTCCACACCTTGATGCAGATCGGACAACAAGCAGGTTCGGCTAGGACTCTAGAAAGGATAGTTATTGATGTATGCTGCTTCTCAGAGACCCGCATACAGGATCCCTGTGACGTGCTTCGAATTAGTTTCCCACCTATCAGTTCGAAAAGTATGTTTCAGTTGTGCTTATCCGGGGACCCTGTGGCGTCGGCCACCGGTCTCGCTGGTATCTGTGTCGCACTAAACGCACTAAATGGGTCCACATCAATATTTGTCTGTGCGCTGTTAGGCTAGAGGGTTCATTTCGAGTAAGAAGTAACCGGCAAGAAAAACGATGGCTATTTGTCATCTCTGCCTATGCTCCGATGGACTGCAGTCCGGATGCAATCAAGGATGAATTCTATCATCAACTGAGTGACATCAACGAAGCGCGCTCGACAGATATCGTAGTGCTAGTTGGGGACTTGAATGCGCATTTCGGGTATCTAGACTTGGAGGAGAGTCGTTTCGGTGGCCAATGGAGACTAGTTGGCCGCAGGTCCGATAATGGGGATCGTCTTCTGCAGCTTTGAGTAGATCACAACCTATTTCTAGCCAGTACCAACTTCCGGCACAGCCATCGCCGTAGTGGTATCTGGCATCCTCCCTCTGCCACTCAAGCCTGAACTCAAATAGGTCATATCGCAATCAGCTGCCAATAATGTGGGTGCATACAGGACTGCAACTCCATATGAAGTACTTGTCTGGACTCTGATCATGCTTTAGTGTGTGCTAAGCTCGTCTTGCGTTTTGGTGGTTATCGAAATCGTCGTCCTAAACAGGTGAATGCAAGCAAGTTAGTTGCACCTAGCATTGCAGCTAAATACCAATCAGCTAGATTTAAGGCTGACTACCGATCCTCGAGAAAGTGTAGACGAGCGTTGCCTGCACTTGCAAGACACCATAGAAATGGCGAGTAAAGGAGCTTGCGGTTTGAAAGAACGCTCCGCTAATAAACATTGGGTCTCTGTGAGCTCCCTGCAACTTGACGCCCATGGGACCATTTCGGAGGTTAGCGAGTACAGTGGTTTGCGTAAGTCTTTTACACGAAAGATTACGCAGGGACCATTAGGCTTGGTAGTCAGAACCCGCGAGTGTGATGGAAGTAGCAGCTATGTTTGGCAGTAGTCGGAAGCCGTTCCAGCTCATCCGAGCCACTGGCAACAGGAAGCCTGGTGTCAATGAAACAGTCTGTGAGGTAGATGGTAGGCCGACAAACAATCTTCAGAGACGCCCTTCTAAATATCAGACTGTTAATTTTAGCCCCAGGCGTAAAGAAGAATTGTGTGAGCTGGTCAAGTTCAATGGTGCCTGTTACATTCGTGGTATCTCTGCAGAAAGTAAATCGAGTGTTGACTATCTTGGGTTGAGTTTTACTTCTGGTCCTTGTTGATCGTCTAATATCTTGTTGACTTGTAAAAAAACCTTTCGTTTAACGTATTACAGAAAAAAACTGAGGCTCTCCGGTATAACTCAGCCTCTCCTTTTACAATTTATTGATTCCTGCATTTTAACTATTCTTTTCTGTTGTTCCCCGTCGATCTTTCCTGGTCTTCTAAAAAAGGACTGTGTCATGTTGTGTAAGGCTTTAAAAGCCGTCGGTAGGGTGAGTAGTGTGCTTCTAATCCAACTGATTAACACTGTAGTTGACATACTTTTAAATTCTGGCAAGCAACTAGCTGCAGTAATTTTAATGAACACTGAGTATCCACTTCATTCACAGCTCTCCTTCTTTACCTCCACAGGGAGGACAAGAAGAAACCATATCATATTGTTTGCTCGCACACCTAAATACAACAGTTCGACTGTGCCCTACCTAGCACGCATATTATATGAAGAAAAAAACGTTATAACAGAACTCATATATCAACTTTGTGACAGTTAATAATTGGATTCCAACAATTTAACTAACAATGTATATTCTTCTATCTACTAGTATTCTTTGCATTACTTAAGTTCTTAAAATAACACTATTAGAAATGTAAAGGTCTATATATATTGATTAGAATAAAGTGATTATTATTATCGTTTGACTATCTGAGATAGCCGTAGTTTGGTAGACTAGTATTTATACTGGGTAGTGACTGAAGGTGAGATGAAAATCTGGACCGCTTCCGATCTACTTTATTGATTGAGTTAATTTGATAGAAATAAATAGTACAATCTAACGCATTGCGTGTAGTCTACTGAATGAAAGATTGCAGGTTACAAACTTCACTATCTATAGTGTATCATGTGGCTATAAATTTAACTTTTTTGGCAGGTTGAGTAAATTCTTATCAGTATGCATTTATTTTTCTTCCAACCCATTTTTTCCTAAAAGTAATTAAAGAAACAGTTTATCGAACATATTTACCAAATGTTTAACTTTCAGAACCTATATCCTTATTTGAATAAGCTTCTTTCATTGCTAATATCTATCATATTCAGATTGTATCCGATATTAAGTATGACTGATGCTGTTCTCAAATACGCTTTTATTTTTCGATAGTAAACTGAAAAGCACTTTTTCCTCTCTCGTCTTGTGTGTAGAATGTTCGGAAATCACTGTACTTTTCATTGCAATAATTTCTTCATGTTGTAGTATTGACTTGATTCCCGCTGGTATACATAATTTCAACATCACAAGGTTTCGTTTAATTTGATAAATCGTGAGCAAGATAGTACGCTATTCTAATAAAAATTAAATCTTACTCTACAGGCTTCCAAAAGTCCTGAGTACGTATATCAGTCTGTTCCGTCTCTTCTTGGGAAGTCAATACATCATCCAATGGTGAAAGTTTTCCAGGAACGCTATCCATATCACAATCTATCTTATGATGCTTCGACTGGACAGTTGTTCTTTACTCAAAGTGATGGGACAGTGTTTTCGGTGGACGAATTGATTGGTATGCTTCTTGAATATGCACATGGCTACGCTGAACTTCATGCTGGTATGTTTTCTTTAGTCTCAATACAAACTGGCTACACAGTTTTTAGTATATTAAGAATAATGTTTTAAAAACAGGTCACTTGGTCGTTTACATTTTTGAACCACTCAGTGTTATTTTTACCTAAAACTATTCAGTATTCCAACTTTAACTCTGATTGTATAACGTTTCAGACGTTTAAAAATGAGTGGAGGAAGCGTATCGTTACGCTACTAGTCTGTTGAGATGTTGATACTAAAACCAGTATGAATTGGCTATTCTTCAGTGATGTAAAAAAGTGGTCGAAAATCACTGTTTAGCCAATGAGGTATGCAAGTTTGGTTGCAGGGCTCAAAGAGTGCATTTAAAATGACCCTAACCACCTAAGTGTGTGCGTGATAATCACAGGAAATAACCTAACCAACACATTTAGATCTTGAGAAAGATGTCCATATGATGTCTAACTAATGGTTATAAACAGCGTACTCAAAACAATCAGTTTGGTTCCAGATCTGAACGAATGGTAAGACGATCTATCAGGTCATGGCAAACAAAGCTTGTCGGCATCCTATGGTCATATTTTCTAGCATTAGGATTTCATTCATATCCTCAGTCAAGTAACTGATTTTGAACAGAATACCTACCATATTATCCCTTATGAACATATGCGAACTAGGGCGAAGACAACCATTGGTGTCCTTTAAGATGTTTGGTATCACTGTTCTTTTTAAATTTCGCAACAGACATGGATGACTTTATTTCCGAATTCTCACTTTTTAGATCTTCCGGTATATCTAGACTTCACAAGCGTTTCGGTTCGTTTAGAAAAAGATACCAACAAGATTCAAGAACCTGATGATATTTGGCATGTATATGATATTTGTCAAACATTAGGAAATGCGGTACTAGTATGCACCGATACGTTGTAAACTAAAATTATTTCGGTTCTTTGTTGTTTACCTCACTTATAATTCTGAGTATGACAGTTACTGACTCTGCCTTGTTCAGATTCAAGAGTTTAGAGTATCGTTTAGTAAAATTTTCGGAAACAACTATGTTGGTTGTTAGTTTCTTGTATCTCATTTCACGGTTGAGATCTGATCGTTGAAGGTGAAAAACATCAGGTTACATGTATTCGGTCGTAGACGTCCTTCAAGTATTGGTCGTATCTGGTTAAATCTTCGAGAAAGTACAGTTATGGTTAGCCATCCTATGACGATGAACTTGGAGACTTTCAGTTATTGAGTTAGCTGGTAACGCATGCCAAGCACCAATCGGGTTAGATAGAAGTGTATAAGCAATTTTTAGCCCAGTAACTGTTGATAGAAAAGATACGTGGAGCTATGGGACATGCGACTGAACTCCTCCGGCTGTTTAGAGGTCGTAATCCAGTAAATACGAATCTATAAGATGTGATACTTTTCAGTTTGATGTTTTCGTTTCAGGTTTCGTAATTAAAACTTGTGTGTTGACTGTGCCCAGTTATTTTGGTCAGGCCGAGAGACGTCGTCTAATGCATATAGCGGAGCTAGCTGGTTTGAATGTTCTTCAGTTAATCAATGATAATTCTGCTGTGGCACTAAATTTTGGTTTATTCCGTCATAGAAGTTTTAATGAGACTCCACAGTACTACGTATTTTTCGATGTTGGTTCGATGAGCACAACTGCGACGTTGGCAGGTAAGTGTGTATCACTGATGTTATATAGTATTGGTTTTCATTTCTAGTTCTTGGATGATTTCTTCTGTTTCGATTTTTCACATAATCCAGATTAATATTTTGCTTCATTTCGGAGGTTTATGGGGGATTGATTGATTGATTTAGAGGCGGTACTCATCATGGACTGACATCAGTTGGAGAACCATTGGAAACTTGCTAGCACTCACCAGCTGTTTTGTCCCACCATGGAACTCCTCAGCAGTGCGGACGTATGACCTCATCGTGGATCGACACCAAGACCTGGTCTCATAGCGAGCACGTTACCATACTACTGGGCTTATGAGTTACCCGACTGTCCATTATATGTCTTATGGACTGCTCTACTTCTATGCGACATGACAGTTGAAGAATAACGCATCGGAATCGATTGTTGTGCTCACAGGTGCCTGTGTCTCCATATCATAGGTGTCTGTAGGTTTTGAAGTGTGTAGGCATGGCTGGTTGACTTAGACATTCTAATTTCAAGCAGTGACTGTTGGGTTAAACACGTACTTCGACGTGAGTAATTAGGTGTGGTTCGTAAACTAGGTTATAAATCTGTACAAGGTTGGCTTTCTGAATTTCCAAATGTTCAAATTTCAAGGAGCGTAGTGATGAACTGACTAGTAGAGTGGTTATGACAGTGAATTCATCCAGTGTCTTTCACTGTTCGGCCTGCCATTAGTCTAAACCTAATTATCTACCATCTTCTGGTATCGTTATCGTTGATTTGAAAACATGATCTTGTTCTCGACTTTTTTTATTCCAGTTTGTTGAAAAAGATGGTAACTAAAATCAGTGTACCGTACTGTAGGGTTCTACGTTGTTACTTTCGTTCGTCTATTTAATTTTACAAAGAATTCCTAAACTCCAATGACACGGTTTCATATTTTATCTTTCTAGCTTACACCTTCGGGAAGCACAGAGATGGAGACGTTACTGGAGATTTTCCAATGCTAAGAGTCACTAATGTCAGGTTGGTTAAAATAGAGTTATAGTATAGTGCCAATAGATAATTATGTTTAACTTTTTGCTTCTTTGTTCAGTTTCCATCGAGCTACTTAGAATTTCAATTTAAAAGCACAGTTCAAACACATAGCACAGTGGTTGGTAGTGTGTAAAAACATCGCTCAGCATGAATTTTTCATACTGATGAGATTCATGCGCCTCGTACCAACTTTGTCTTAGTACCTCACTATTTTCTACCCGAACAATGGCGGAATTCTTACCATCTTCACAATATACCCCAATTTCTTCCTTATTTCTCGTCACAAAAAAGATTGAATAGGTCATGTGGATAACCATCAGAAAATAATTCGGCGATCTAAAATACTTATTAGGTTGTCTAAGTTATATGTTAGCGATATATGTGAACAATCGACTGTCAAGACTGAAACTAATAAATTATTTCAAAGTTTGAAGCTGTAAAAGTGAATTTCCAAAAATATGTATCTTCCACCCTAGTTCTTTGGTGTTTTTTGTAGTTGTGTGAACATAATTGTAGTTCAGTATTCCCAACGCTGTGGTTTCATATGTAATTTTCACCATAATTGATTTAATCATATTTATCAGTTCAGTTTGTTAATTAAAGTAAACAGAACCTTAGTAATTTATCGTTTGACTTGTAGTGACTGGTAGTTCCAAGGGGATACTGTCGTAACTTTGGTTTCCGATTATAAATTTGGTTGATAAAAACAGCGAAAAACATAAAAGTGAAGACAAACTGAAGTCAAATTCATAAAAAAGCATACCCAGGATGAGGTTGTCATATTCCATAGTAGCATAGAAATGCTAAGAGCTGAATACAGATATAGAGGGGATAAAAATGAACCATTGGCTATGGATCTTAGTTCTGTCAACTATGGTTGAGTACTTTTATTATGAATTCATCATATATATTTCGCCTAGTTTTTGAAACCTCAATCTCTGGTGAATTTTAGCATTGTTTTTTCCGATAAAATAGTTTCTGTTCATAAATTTGTAGTTGTAGTATGTAATTAGTGTAGTTGATGTTCGTAGTTACCTTTCGATGGATTAATGACTAGTCTCTTTTGAAACTGAATTTGATTTCTTATTGGAGCTATAGATGTAGCTACTTACTGATTCTGTTAAGTCCTTTTTCATCTATGACTACTGAATACAAAAAAGAAAATTAATTGTTGTCCTCAGTCGATTATGATTGGATTCGAGATGGTGCGAAATGCTTGGCAGTCTATAAACTTTTATCATAATTGACTAATTTCGTTTTACAGCAGAAATTATAAGAACCTATCCTATCTTTTATGAAGTTCTTTTGCAGATTTTTTTGGGGGCAATTTTTTTTCTACAATTATCTTAATTTTCATATTTCACCTTTTAGTCTTGTGACTTACTTATAGTATAGTTATGAACCAAAGTTGTACGAAATCTCACATAATAATAATTAGCATGTTATGAATTTTTACAATATAGTTTTGCGCTATTTCTCTTAAAAGAAAGCAGTTATACAAGTTTAAAGAGTAGACACTAGATGAGTTGACATGCTTACTTTCATTATGAATTTATAAATGTATTTTGTCTGACTTACATTCAATTAATATTATTGATATTTTGGGCATGTACTTGTTTATTCTCTACATTACTATCTGTGCTTGTTACAGCTTGTTTAATATGGAAGTATTCTTTCTTAGATTTACAAAAGACCCCTTCAGAAGCAAGCACTATTTCATGAACTAATCTTCTTCCGTAACAGCTGTTTAATACCAAAACCATTACTGCTTCATATATTACCATTCGATCTTATTCATTCATGTTAGAACACCAGAGAAGCAAAGCTCTTGTGTTTTGAGCTTGAATAGGTGATCAAGTCTTATTTACAAATATTCGCAGTTCTAATTAAACTGTAGATATAATAATAACGTAACTTAACGACACTCATTCATTAACTACTTTGCACGTTTGTCTACTTTGATATCAGCTGTTCTTTGCTTACTATTGTGAATTGTGACAACTTAAACGGATGTACTCGTTTGCTGGGTCCTTCGTTGGTTTTTTCTCTATGAACTACTCATAAATTATAAGGGTTTTTATACAACCTGGTCAAGTAAAACTTAGCAGGTTGAGTCAGAGAATGTAGTTTATAACTAGCTTGTTATTCATTGGTTTCCTAATTCAATGAGACACTGAGCTGTAGATGATTTTTGTTTGATTTATACACGATTTGTTAGTATGATTATTGGTTATACAAGTCCTGATGTCCTTAAACTGACTATTCTTGCTGTTAGCTTCATCTGGATACGCGTACCCTGGAGTTATTGCAGTTTAGAAGACTGCTTTGTTTTCTCGTAATAATAAATAGTTTTGTATTTAATAGTACGTAATAATAGTAGTTAACATAAATTACAAACTCATCTGAGGATGTGTAGTAACAAAAAACGTAAGCTGAGGTCAACAACAGATAGAAATGGATCGACTCATTTAGTTGACCGGTCCTACATCTGAAATATCCAGATAACAGTCAGTCACAGGAAAACAGGGAAACGTCTAGATATAAGTTACTTATTAGTAGTAGTTAAGGCAAACAAACTGAATAACTGTTTTTAAACTTTAATCTACGAGGAGAGATTATGCGTTTTAAATTCCATGATATTTGTAATGTCTACTTGTTTTCATTGGAATTAACATCTGTTTTCTTCAATTTGTAATATTCATTATTCAGTCATGATCCAACACTTGGTACAATGGCTTTCACTTATCGAATAAGGGATCTATTGGTTGAAAAATTCAGTGAACTAAAGAAGAAGAACAAAGATCTTGTAATGAGAAACAATCGAGCAATGTCCAAACTGACACAAGAGGCCTCTAACGTACTTATGAAGTTAAGCGCGAATAACGAAATACTTGCCCAGGTATATACCAAACATTTTTTAATTTATTTTACAAAATGGACTATTTTTATAGATATTTACGGGAAAAATGCTTTTCTTTATGTATTGTCTTTTCGTAATTGTCATTGGAATTTCGTCATTAAGTTTATGAGTGCATATGAGTGCTGTGAATATTTGATTGACCTCTGCTGGCATATAGATACTTCTATACCGATGCGTCAATATCACTTAGATGTTTATTGTTATTATTGTTTTGGTGGTGGCTAGCTAGTCAGTTACAATAACAAATATTCAGACAGTATCAAGGCATCCACAGAAGAGTCAGTATTCCATCAGAGGTCGATCAATTCAAACAAGTGTAAAAACGGGAAGTCACAAGTATCAGCAGATTATAATCACTTTGTGCTGTCTAAAAATCTTTTCATTCTCCTTGTTGGCATATTCTGACAAAGACAACTCAAGGCTTGACATACACAATACATTTTCGAGCCATCTCAGTCGACCAAAGTTCATAACCTCATCACTGGACTTGCTTAGTACCATTTCCCTGACCTCAACATGGCTCACACGGTGATCCCGCCAAACACAAGCAATGCTACGAAGACATCCGTGATCAAAACCCTGTGACCGTTCCATGTCTTCTACTTTCAATAGCTGCGTCTCAGTCGTATAGCAAGACGGAACGAACTGCAGCGTAGTACACTCGTCCTTTGATAGGTAGTCGGATATCTCACCAGTTGGCCCCAGAAATGATGTAAGTTGGCAAATGCCAAATTGACCTTCTGCATCCCAGCTGAGATTTCGTCAGCAACCAGCTCGTTCTGACTGATGCGACTCTCCAAGTAAGTGGATTGGTCGACACATTTCACCACTTCACTTCCTATCATTAAGGTGGGAGCGGTTACAGACCAGTTGTGGTGCATCATCTTGCACTTGACAGATGCGAAACGTTTGTCAAACTCTCAGATTTTTGTCCGTGTTCAGAAGACCCTGCATTTTTCATTGTCTAAACCTAGTAGGGTAATATTGTCAGCATATTTCAAGTCAACTAGAGGGTCTTCAGAGAGCAGATCAATCCATCTGAAGTCAGACGTATCTAAGGTTATGTTCATTAGAATGTCCATGAAGATGTTAAATGGGAACGGTGTCAGTGGACGTTCCTAACGAACAGCACTAGTTGTCGTCACTTCAGATAATAAGCCTTCATAAGCCCCTAGATGGGTGCGTGAGTTCGAGTAGATAGCTTTGATTAGCGTTGTATACTTCCTCGGTACTTCCTTCACAGTCAAACACTGCCACATCATCTCAAGGTCAATAGTCGAATGCCGCCTTCAGGCCAAGCAATATGGCAGGTGTCGACCACCGGCCGGTGGGTATGCCTGTGTTCTCGAACCTGTGGGAGAGTGAAATTATGTTCGATGCACCCTCATCCAATTGTGAAACCTATCTGGTTTTCCCGTGTTTGCTGTTCTCGAGCTCTAGGTAGGCGTTGGATAACTGTGGACCGTAGGATCTCGGACAGGATATTAGTCAAACTAATTCTCCTGTGGTTGTCACAAGGAGATTTCTCCTAATTTTTATAGACTGGGTTGATCCGTGAAGTACACCAGTCTGACGGGACTACCTCTGATTTCTATACATTACCTAGTGCCTCCGTCACTCTAATCAGCAATTTCAAACTTCCATCCTTTAAAACTTCTGGCGGCAAATTGTTAGATCCTGCTGCTCTGCATCATTTCAAGTTACCTACAGCTTTTTCAGCCACAAGGCGAGTTGGGGGACATTCGTCTACATCCTGTTCAGGTTCAGGCTAGATGTTACACAACTGAAGCCTTGCTAAAGGCCAACTGAACTATTCTTCAAAGTGTTTTTTATCAACGTTCTAGCCGGCTGTCCTGGGAGGTTATTGGGGTCCTATCCTTTTCGGTATTAATTTCACTAACCATCGTCTTCTTTTTGCCGGTATCCTTTAATGGGTTTAAGTAGTTGTCTAGTGTTACCTACCGCTGATACCTTCTCCATCTTTCTCGTTCCAGCCACCCACCATTGCTCGCGATCATTGCCAAAACTCTTGGTCAACCTACCTTTAAGTTTTTTTGCCATTTGTCGTTGTCAGAGCTACTTAAAGTCAGTCTTCTCGCCGTCGTCATTTTGGATGACGTCGGGAAAACCTGGTGACGTTTGATGAGCTTCAGTTTTAATTCACCAACTGTCTTTACCGCTGTTTCTACCAAAGACTGGATTTCTAGCTAGGTTTCCCCTCAGGATAAGCATTGCTATTATTGTAGTGTCATTATGAGCGCTTGTTTATTCTGATTTTCGTACGCTTTTCTTGTAATGATCTACTATAGTTAGTTTTCTTTCAGTAATTTTTTGTTTGATATATATATATATATATATATATATATGTATATATATATATATATGTATATATATATATATATATATATATATATATATATATATATATATATATAGAAACAAGGAATCAAACAAAAAAATTACTGGAAGAAAACTAACTATAGTAGATCATTACAAGAAAAGCGCACAAAAATATATATAATGTCTTAATGGCTTTCTTGAGCATAATACTGATTGCTTCACAACTCATGAAGGTTAATACGACTGAGAAATTGCCAGTACCTGTTTCAAAATCGTACATAGACGTCTATTATATGATGATTGATGTGTTTACCTCATTTTTTGTTATGAATTCCTTTTAGGTTGAAAATGTATTTGATGGAGAAGATCTTAGAGTTAAAGTTACTCGTACTGAAATGGAAACAATATGTGCCGATTTGTTTGAGCGAATTAGGCAACCGTTCCTGGATATCATGGTGGATGTTTCGACAGACTCGTTGCAAGAAGTTATTTGATGGGTGGAGGTACACGTATACCTAAAATCCAATCTGTTTTAATTGAGCTAAGTAAAAAGTAGGTGACTGTTTCTTTTCTTCATTAATTTTTTTCGATATATTTATTCTAAGAATGAACTGCTTGAAAATAGTTCTAACCCCATGCTCAATCAATTTAGATCTATTATTAGATATTTTTCATCACTTTTTTCATCGTCTTACTTTAATTTCGTTTGTTTTTGCATAGTGGTTATCGTTTGTTGCCGTACAAGATGAAGTCAGGCTCCATAGTCTTTCTTGATATTACATCCTGGATTGATGTTTAGGGAATCTAACTTTTTCGCAGGGTATATATATATATATATATATATATATATATATATATATATATAGCGCCAGTTGTCATCTATTAATATCTTACCTCTTACTATTTATTTTTTTGTTTTTTTTACTCAGATCTGAATTGCATAAGGGTGTAAATAGTGACGAAGCGGCAGCTCTGGGAGCAGTGTATCAAGCCGCATTTCATACTCCTGGTTTCCGTGTTACTCGGTTTATTGTTAAGGACTATAATCTTTACTCCATCGCTGTAAGTTCCATTTGAGGTAAAAATTAGTTTGCCTTTCTTCTTATTGTCCTTCATACTTAAGTTGTTTGCCACTACAGTTGGTGCGAAGCCCAGTGATATCCGTTTTCGGGCAATAGGCTCTGCCCTGCCCTTTTCTTTTGGTGGCTTCTGTTCTAGGTACATGTTCCTCAAAGAAATATTTAAGAATTGGGGAATAAAAAAATAATTTTTGTGATGGTAACAAGTAGCAAAATTTTGGTGCATACATAGGAGAAAGTAGGGAGTTCCCTTTTCAGAATGTAGAATATTATGTAGTGCACCGCGCATACTATCTCATGTTTCATGTATTTTTAACCACCTATGTAGTGAAGCGTAGTAAGTATGAATTTGGGTTCTGTGTTTATATCTTCAGTAGTATTTTCGCTTTTATTTGAAAGCAGATAACAATAAATCTCCTGGGTATCTTTTTATGCATGAAATATATCGTACACCTTATTATCTCTTATTTTAGTGTTGACACGTGTTTAGTGAATATACAAATATTATTTAACCATGTCCAGTGGATTACGGGTGAATAGGAGCTTGCGTTTGCAGCAGGAATTGTAGAAATGCAGCTATTTAATTCTGATACAACTTTTTGAGTTTAACTGTAATGTTTATGAGGTCTGTTTATCTCAGCTATTAGTTTCTGTATTAAGGCTGAAAAAACATACTGTTTATTGAGACTTAGTAAATCTGTTAATCGCTGACGCATTATTCCTTAATATGTACATATAATTACAGAACCTAAAGAAGAATTTATCGAAAAGAATATTCTTTGTTCACTCAAATGACTTTTAAACTATAATGAGGATTTTTAATGATTAGAGTACAGTAGGCTGAAAGACATAAGCTCAAGTTTTTTCAGGGTCACTAACTTTGAGTTTATCCTGCTGTTGAATACTAGCAGATATGAAAGCTGCTTTCAGAACTGCTTATTAGTTCCTTGAAATTACCTGTCCCTCTATATGATCCACTACACTTGAGTCATTTAAATTCCTGGTTGCATTTGCGGGTACACTAATATAATTTGGCTAATGCTAAGAACCAAGTGGCGTAACATTGATTGTTCTCTCTGTATAAAAAAATCACACTTATTGTGTAAGGGCTAGTGATATTGCTTGGCTGTTCGAACCCCGATAGGTGAGGTTGGATTCGAACCCGTGACCCACTGCTTTATAGTCAGCTACCTAAAGCAATTACCTAAGGTTTCACTTAATTGTTCTTTATTCACTGGTTAGTGGAGTGTAATGTTTTTTCCCATATCGTTACGAACGTTTCTTAATTTACTATATGTCATAGGTTGATTTTATGCGTGCTCCACCTTTATCCGGTGATAAACCAAACAAAGAGTCAAAAACTGATACTCAAACGGATTCATCGTATATCAGACAAGTCCTTTTCCCCCGTGGGGCGGTTTTCCCTCAGAAACGTGCTATCAAATTCAATCGACATATAAATGATTTGGATTTCTATGTTAGTTATACTGATCTCAGTGGTTTCGCGGGGAGGTAAGTATTAACTTACACTGTCATTATTTTCTTGCTTGCCATTATGAAACTTAAATCGCTGGACAATTTATTTTCATAAGCTTTATATCTCTATGTATGATTCTACCCTGAAATGATTTATTTCTGGGTAGTCTTCATTACGAATCGGTTTTCAGTGGTTCTACAACTGATGTCGGTTCGTGATGAAGACTACCGTGACATCAGTCAATTCACACAAACCCTCAAACTGAAATAATTCATTTACCTCATTTTGACAAGTTGGTATTAGTTGGAAGTTATTGGTACTTACTTGATTTCACTTAGACGTATATTCTCTCACTGTCATGAACTCTTCAGCTTGATGCTTTGCTCCTTCGGTTTTCTAAAATAACACCATATTCCATCCTTTTATTTAATATTACTTGGTCGATAGACTTCTATTAAAACTGAAGATGTGACATGTTTTTCATGTAATGACCGTTTTTTGAATCCTAAATATATTGTAATCACTATCTGTTCATATAACATGATGATGCCAAGTTATCTGATTTGGGGTATATTATATATTGTATCTTTCTTCATATGCAAATTGTTCTATATAGTTGACGAGTATCTGTGCCTATAGTAACAAAAACTAGAACAGCAGAGATCATGTACTATCTTATTTTGACTAAACTTTGTAAGAAAATTTATTACAAGAGGGGAGAAATTCTACTTATGGTACAATTAAAACACAATAGGGAATCATAGTAAGAGAAAATATTGATTTCAGTCTACATCAGTCAACTTGATATAGTTTATTTGAACTCCCTATAAGTATACAGTGATGTGTTTTGCCAGCGTGTTTACAAAATGAACTTACGTTCGCCACGATGCAAAAGATTCGATTATTAAGCTGGTAGTTCACATTTATACCTTGTCAGAATTTTTCATTATAAAAATATATTTCCTCTTTTTCTGCATAGCTGAAATTGAGATATTTTCTTTTAAGATGATAAGGCTCTCGATAAATCTATGAAACCTGACTAGTCTATGTTTCCTGTTTAAGGAACTATGGCATTGCACAGCGAAACATTTTTACGTTATGTTAACTTGTTTCACACTAGCATGAAATGAAAACTTCGACTGCGGCCGGATTCAAACCAGCAAGCACCGGGTTTCTGGCCTGATGCTCTACCAACTGAGCTACGAGGCCTAACCGCTGACCAGATTTTTATTTCACTTCAATCACACTTTTATTTCCTATTGCAATTTACTCAGTAGTCTTCCTGTTTCTAACTTCCTTAGTTTTATAGGAAGTAGCTATAATATTAGTCATGTGATTACAAGAAATGTTTCGAAATCTGCTAAGCAATACTTATTTGCTGAACCACGTGGTATCAAGGCACATTTTACAATGGATCACAATGGAATTCTTACACTCAATGCTGTTAGTTGTATATTTCATCCTCTTGATAAAACTGAAACATCTGATGACTTGATGAAGGAGAAATCCACTTTTGAAAGTGAGTTAGTGGTTCTTATGAAATTACTGTTGTTTTCTTTTGTATACCATGTTCAGTAGCTTGAATATATCCATATACTCTGAGCAAATACTTCAATAAAAAATTTTTCCAGCAAGTTTATTTTCAAAGCTATATTGTAGCATATGAGTTGCTACTAAGAATGTTAATAAAATGAATTATCATAGTAAAGTGGATTGTAGAATCCTGTTAGGGTAAAATGCCAAAATCTGTTTATGAAGTCAAAGAAATATCCAATTATTGTCATAACTATGTTAACTTGGTTTAGCATTGTTTTGATCAAAAAGGGTTAAAACGAGTCATGCGATATTAGTGTTTTTTCTGTTTCATAGTGATTTATCTGATTTTTGTTGATGAGTTAGCATTCAACACATAGAGCTCGTTATCGTTTTGAACTTCAGTCTAAAGGTATTTTTGTATTAGTGTAGCTTATTGGATTCAGCGCGACTTCAACCGATGTGTTGTATAGTTAAAATTCTGTTCTGCTCACCGCGGTTCAGGTAGGCATTTAGTTTGATGAGTTATCGTGCAGTATATGTTACTTTGAGTTCGGTATACAAATCTCTACCCGATCGCTAATTTGCCCTGTTGTCTATTACTTTTGGTTTTTGAAAAGTGGGATATTTAGACAACTAAAAAATGACATTTTGCAGTCATCATAACTCCCTTTATTGTTTCATGTGGTTTTCTGAAAGAAATTTGTTTTATTTCAAATAAATCAGTTTCCTCGTACTACTATTTGGAGGTAGCTTTGCAGCATTTTCTCTAGCAGATATATGTACTTTCCATTTTTTTCAGAAATTGGTAATACTCTTAGTGGGTTATTTGGTGGTGGAAACAGTGGTGAAGAAAAATACTCAGAACAAGATGTAAATGTCAACGGGACAAACGATGGTACTAATTTAACCGATACGGATGCGGCTAATTTAACCAGGAACAAAGTAAGCTTTTTCTGGTGACACTTAGCTATTACTTGTTGTTGACTGTGCTATTTGAGATAATCTAAGTTTGGTAGACTGGTACTGTTGGGATAGTGTGATGACTAGACCCGATTCACAGCAGTGTTAAAATGAGAAGCCCCTGGGGCTGTTGGTTTTAGTGTTGCAGTGACCATGACCTTCCGTCAAATCCATTTATTATCGTGCTAATTTTGTCTCGTTTCATTTTTCATAGCTTTATGTTCGTAATCTAAGCTTGTTTGTGGTTAAATCACGATATAAGTAATGCCAAGGTTAGGCATAGGGTAGTTGACAACGAACACAATGAATTAAACCACTGACTGAGATGTCTTGGATATGTTGCGTGTACTGCGGCACTGCCTCCTTGGTTGTACAACGTTAGTCAAGGTAGAAATAGGTTGGGAAAAAGCTAAGACAAGACGAAAACAACATAGGATCAAGCATTACTGCATAATCAATTCAAGTTGCCACACTTCATTTAAACGCATCTAGCGAGAAAGCACTAGATTAGTAGATAAATAAAGAGAAAATAAAGCAGTCAAGACTGGTAGAAAGTAATGAAAAAAGAGGAAAGGCGAATAAGAAAATAGTAACTGAAGTATGACTGCCTAATTGGCATCCTCAAGACGGTAGGAATCAGTTGTTGAAAACTCTTTGTGGTCCGTAGATGTACACATTTAGTTTCATTTTTTGAAGATATGAATTCGTATCGTGGATGGACGTTTATCTTTTTATTCTCTTTCCCCTCGTACACTTTTTCCTTCACTGATATCAATTTTTCTGTTTTCTTCCTATAATTTAGTATTCATTTCTTAGTCCCCATTATTTTCCACCTTATCGAAGAGTTTATGCAGTGTACCAACTTTGACCGTTATGAAACAGTACAAAGTTTTAGGTTGATTTTTGTGTTCTATTTTATATAGCTTTAACGTTTTTTCGATTTGAAAACTTTTGTGTATTTTACTGAGGCTTGTGACAAATCAGAGCAACGAGTAACTGTCTATGAGATTCAGTTTCAAAAATCTACTTGTTTACATTACGTAGTTAGTCTCTCTTATGCAAGTGACAGCTGTTTTACTGGCGAGTACCTGGATTGATGCGTGAAAGTGGATTTGTTTTACTGTTAAGCTAGGATTTGTTGAATCATGTTTTATTACTGTAAATTTTATGACGTTTATCTCGCTTGATGTTATGATAAGCATTAAGTGGCGCTTATCTTTCCAGACCACCACGGATAACTCAACTGTTTCTCACAATGACGATTCCATTCCTGGAACAAAGAACCAACAGTACAATATTGTAAAGGTAGTTTGTGTGCTTCTCGTTTAGTGTTTTTCGTGAGTTAAAACAAGTCTGAGAATTGACAATCTCAATGCGTATTGTTGTTTGCATCAAAAAATCCTGAATGATATTTAAACGTGTTATGTTTTGCATTCATATAAACCGCATGATTTCACATTATATGCATGATTTAAGCTTATTTGTGCCTTCTTTGTGCGCTTATTAATATGCTTGCGCCATACAATCATAGTCTCTGATCTTAGTGACATGAGTTCCATTTTGTTCTCGATTTTTATGAATATGTTTTGGGTGTCTTTTGTTTCAAGCCCACAGCACCATTCCCCGAACCTATCGACTATGAAGTTGCATATGTTGATTTCCCTGAGTTGACTTCAAAGGAGCTGTCGAATTCTCGTTCTAAGTGAGTTGTTATGACCAATAAGTTTGTTTTATTGTTATGATATGTAGATTATAATTTTTGAACTGATAAGTATGCCAGCGCATAATCTCATACAGAATTGCAATATTTCCATTCACCACACTTCATGAAAATGCAGGAAGCAGAAATCCACTCCGCTAAAATCCTTTTCCGGTTTTTAATTAAGTCAAGTTGGGGTTTGATGGCTTAGGAATTCTTGGGCATTATATTCATTATTTTGGTACTTATACTACCTGATAAATGAAAACAAAATAAGTGTGTTTTTTTAATGCATGAGTAGAACCTTGGCGGTACATAGTTCCATGTGAAATAGTATTATTTACTGGACAAATATGAACAATAAATTCTCTTCGAAACGTCATCCGGTAAACAATGCTGTTTCACTGTGTGAAATATCTAACAAATAAACTACCATGAAGGGTTGTTTTTACCTATTTTCCACTACTTAGTGCTGATAGCTTTATCAAAGTTATAGGAAACTGGGATGTACAACATCCAAATTTATGTATGCTAATTTGATCTGAGTTTTTTTTTGTATGATGATTCTATGCTCTCGGATTTTTGAAAATGAAGATGGCAACATAGAATCATCCATGCCGAAAAATATAGATCAAGTTATCATATACAAAATTAGATGCTTTAAATCCCGGTCAACTCTAACTTTGGCAAAGTTATTAGCATTAAGTAGCGAAAAGTCAATGAAAACAATATTGTTGACGCAAAATTATACAGTATGGACATATAACTGTTGGAGCTGAAGAAGAAGTTATCGAAAAGAATATCCTTTGTTCATTCAAATGGCTTTTGAATGAACAACCTTATTTTTTTTTATCATTTATTGGAAAATACAAATACCAAAATAAGGTAGGAAAATATCAAAATGGACGCAAAGGGTGTAAGGAAATATAGCCAATAATGGGTGCTAGTCGAATGTTTCTGTATATCAGCTAACAGCCTTATATCAGGGGCTTACTATATTCTAACAAAGATCATTTTGTAGTATGAGGATTGTGGGGATTTTACTTTTAAGGTAGTATTCTTCACAGGTTGACATCATTTGGAGAACCATTGGAGACCTGGGACCAACAGACATTTGTTTCATCGTAGTATGGGCTCCTTAGCAGTACACACCCATGTCGCTGTCAGGGATCAAACTCAGGACCTTCAGGTTTCACAGCGAGCGCATTAATCATTCATTCACTAGGTTGAAATACAATAGATCACAGTTTCCAACTTCTGTCATTTCGTGATATAGTACTACTATCCACCAAGGTCTTCAGTCGGCATTTGCTTCACTTCCGACTGGCTGACCCTAGAAGTCAATGCTTCCCGATCCTTGGGGTGGGGGGTGGGGTCATGGGTACGTACTGTTGAGGAGGCTCATACTAGGGCGAAACAGTTGTCAACTGCTCTCAGCTTTTAAATAGTTCTCCAACTGACGTCAGTCTGTGATGAACACTACTTTAATAATAAAATTTCCATAAACCTCATACTACATTACTGTGTTGTGCTTGGTAGTAGCATACATCAAGATGGATATCCCAAAGTTCTAACTCTTGCGCACCTCGTTCATGAAACGTTATTGAAACAGACCATCAAATAAACGCCTGCACATCTTTTGAACTCATTTACAAAATATGTTGAGAATTGATGATCGTATTTGTTGAAGCTTAATTCATTACAGTATTAAAACCCACATTTACATGTTCATAAACAATTTGTCGTCACATTAAATCTTCTTTGGTAAATTCCCCTGTGAAAACGATATTGATTCAGTATTATTCTGTTTTATAAATTTTCATTGTTATTCGGAACTTCAATTCTGCTATCTCATTGAACTATTTGTACTTACTATCGGTCTACGCAGTATAAATTGTCTTAGTGGTATCAGTGGTTGAAAACTCTTTGTGATGTAGCTGAAAATTGGTCGCAGGGGCGCAGATGTATACATTGGTTTTCATCTTCGAAGTTATGAATGAGCGTCGTGGAATGACATTTGTCTTTTCATTCTCTCTCCTTTCACTCACCTTTTTTCTCCTTGATATCATTTTTTCTGTTCGCTTCTCTGTAGGCTGCCATATAATGTGGCAACCTGAACTGGTGGATTCTTTTATGAGGTCCTACGTTTGGCAGTTAGCTTATCTCTCTCCTTCTTTCTTTCTCCCTCTCTCTCTTTCTCTTCAAACCTATTTTCATCTCAGGTATTGATATCCACCATAACTCATACATCTCTGTATGGAACATTTCTGATTACTTACTCAAGAGCCTATTTTAGTGATAAGAAACGTAAATCATGAACATGTACCTGGTTTATTCTGAAAGCTCGACATTTCACCTCATGATGTCGATCAAATATTTCAATGATACATTTTTCTTCTCTTTGTCACTTTTCTGGGGTTAAATTGCCTATCGGGTCATCTTGGACTTTCACACGAAACATCATCTATACTGAATATAATTGGTTTGAGGCTGACAAATTTTGTGTTTAATAATAAATTAACAAAGTTTCTTCGGTCTTCCCCATTTCCTCCTTCTTTTGAAAGGCTTGATATAACGTGTCTACAAACTTATTGTTTACTGTTCGATGATGAATGGGTAGTGTGCTATCTGCCTCACTGATACCAGGATTTTTGGTGTCATTGTCTCATATGATCTGGAACAGATTTCAACTGCTGTTAGACAACTTTCTGCTTTCTTTCCACGCGTACATTATTCTCCACTATTCTTCATGTTAACTAGTAGTCAAAGTATAAACGACTTATACTGTGATGTTGGTACGAGAGCGAAAACATAATGTACGTGTTTTGACAGCAGCCAGGTGTTTTTTGCCTATAAATAGTATTCCTTGTTGATTTTGTCTTATCTTATGTGACGAAAGAGTTTGAAAACGTTGGGAACTAGAAAGAACCCTTCTCCGTACGTCATGAACTACAACTGATGGCGGTACGGGTTTTTGCCCCAATTACTTACATAAAGATCAGATACCGAACTTTTAAAATGACCATGCGTGACCCGACGTCACGCTAATGTTCCTGAGTTCTACGCTCACCAAAGACAAAAGTACTTCTTTTGGATGCATCTGAAAGACATCAATTTCTACAGTATGGTCATCCGGAAAGTATCAACCACCTAGACGCTCCCAGCAGTAGATATTATTCCTTCAACCGTAACCCACCTTTATTTTATCTCTCATTTCACTACGTTTCATTTATGAACATTTTGCTTACCACAGCTTCCTCATCTTCTTAGTCTGCAAATAATTTTATCCAACAAAGTGTGGTTTTTACTTTCACAAAACCATGCCATCATTTTCGTCCAAATTCGCTGAATTGAGGCGATAGGAATTAATTGCTATTGACTTTCGCCAGTATATTTCGAAATTGGATGCAATGGCGTTGACGTATGTGCTATTTCTCACCTTTGAAGTTTTGGAAATGTCATTTCTTGTATGCCCATCTTTTCTGGAACTATAATTTTGATGACCGTTTGATAACAAAGATATATGACACTAAATCGCTACCGGTACTGAATACAAGTCCATATGGGTTTTTTCTAAAAAGCAACAGTCCTGATTGCATCCGCACGATTGGTAACTAATTGGTAACTATCAGTTTGAACACCAGGTAACTCGATGACAGTGCATGTCGCTGAAATTGTTACTGTTTAGAAATGGGGTATGACACATTCGTTTGCACAAGAGGACCATCATTATTCAACTTATCACTTATCCCCTATTTACTACCCTAACGGTCGTCTTTGAACCTTGGGGCGTAGGCCTTAGTGAGATGACCTTAAAGCTACGCTACCTCACTCTAAACTCCGCTCCGTTTACTCCAGCCTTTGGGAATTGGATGGCATGATGCCTCACAAAATAAGTGCATCCTAATCTGATACGGTATGTACGGGTTTGATTTACATTAAATGACCGTATTTCCGACATGTTGAAATACATAATAATAAATATGAACACCTCAGCTAGTTGTGCGATATTTTTCAAGCACATTCGCTTGAGAAATCCTTCCAATCGATGGTAGATGGGATTTCATCTTCCGCAACTTGGTATTTCAGAATTATGTAGGTAACTAAATCCTTTGTATTTTCAACGTTAGCAGAAGAACTCAGCAGATACATTTGGTCATTCATTCAGGTGAAATTAAATTCATTTTCTTCGTATTTTCTTCAAGATTAAATAAATTACGAGAAGCAGATAAAGCCAAAGCTGCTTTAGAAGAGTCAATTAATCAACTTGAGACTTTATTAATTGATACACGTGATAAAATTTCAACTGATTATGCCAAATATGGAACAAAAGATGAACTTGAACATCTGGATAATACATTACAAAGTGCAACTGATTGGTTTGATGAAACGGGTCATGATAGTACAAAAGATGTGAGTAGAAACGTATTGTTTTGTTGAAAAAATTTGGTAAAGCTAATGTTTTCACACTGTGATATGTATACTTTCTTGGCCGTAGAAGCCTTTTGTAGATACTGCTAGCATTATCTATTCTGCTTGGCTAACTCATTCATGTCAAAGCAAGTGTTGGCTTTGTGAAATCAAGTTGTTTTTTCTAATTATGTACTTCAACGGTGGAGTTGTGACTCATTGGTTTAAAGAGTTGACCTCCAACCAGCTGGTCATGGGTTCGAACACCGCTCCACTCATCGAAGTTTGACTAGCCAGGTAAGCCGTCACACATTAGGCGAAGCTCATCGTCTACTGCACTAACATGCACAAGATTGGTGAGTGAGCTTCATTTCACTACATAGACATTGAAGTGAGTATCATCCTTTTAGTTTCTTACTGTTAGTATTCAGCATAAGTAATTTATACTTAGTGATCACATTTAAATTCTGTTTAAGGATGTAATCTACGTCATTTTTAGTATAAACATAAGTATTTATTTTCCTGCTATGAAACGAAGAGTAGATTGTATTTTATGATACTCTAGTTAAAAGTTGAGTTTCTGAGCAACAGATGTACCCTATCTCCATATTACCATGCCCAGTAAAGCGATGAACTGAATTCACGTGTAGAAATGAGATTAATGGTTAGTACTTACTCTCTATTAGATTGAATTAGGCGATAGATAGCACTAATTATCTTGGTTGTATTGTATTTTCTGAGCTGGGCTGTTTAATCGTGAAGCTTTCATCGTCTTGCTAGACGACATCATCATACTGAAGTTAGTGCTGATGATGTCGTCTAGCAAGACGATGAAAGCTTCACGATTAAAAAACCCAGTCCAGAGAACACAATGCAACCAAGACCATCCACCTGAGCTACAAATATTCTCCATTATTTCAAAATCATACGAGCACTAATTATGTTAGACATTATTCTGTTTCGCTGTGAGCACGGTCAACTTTGGATCTACTGGCGAAAGAGTTAATTGCTACAATCATTATATTTCAGATCTGTAAATATGTTACTGCTTCCTAGTGTTACGTTGTAATGCCCTCCGGTGTAAATTCACATCTCAGTAGTCTAAACCGCTTCCAGCCTTAATTCATAGGTTCACACACCTCAACCAGTTTGTCGAGGTTTGGAAAGTCTGTTGTAAACTAAGTGGAAGCAGAAAGGTTATTTTAAAGGAAGATATGTTAGCTAGGTGATGCTGCATTATTCTCTATACCTCTTTATTCCTAGAGGTAGGAAGTTTATGCAAGAGAGTCGTACTCAAATATTGTAAGTGAAAATATCTCTTACGTCACGGATGATTAAACTACTTCTTAAGTATGTAAGTAGTTTTCACTTCAAACTTGTGTCGTAATCTATCTATTGTTCCACTATTTCTACTTTCGTCGAATACTGTAGATTGATGGTTACCATCAGCTTGTAAGTGAAAGAAAAAACGTTCATTAACAGAGGTTAATATGATAATCCGTGCAACTGTATCCACTCTACAGAATTCAATAAACTGTACAGATAACGTGTGTAATGACCGTCTAGAATTTTCAACCTATTGATATCAAACAGCAAAATTCAAAATAAAAAGCCTAAACTGTTTTTATAGGTTAGTGAAGAACGTGCAAATCACACATTCTTTTAGTTCAGCGTCACGTTTTGGAGGCGCGTTGTCATATTTGCTGTAAGTAACAATACTGGAATGAAGAAATATTCTAATATACTAATTTGAAAGCGTATATGATGAATCAAGCGTTTTTGACCTGTTGTGTTTGAAATAAATAAATCTTACAGTTTTAGTGCGTGATTGTGAATAAAAATGCTTCAGAAATGGTAAATTTTAAAGTTGGTAACCAAGATACAAGCGTGGCAATAGAATATGAAGCACTTTTGTTAAGTATACAGTTGTTCAATAATAACAGTAATCATAATAGCAGTAGTAATAATAATAGTCACTTTATTCCAGATAATAACTTTAAGTACAGTTACGAATTCTCATTGTGATATTTCAGCAAATTTACGTGTACAAATTAAAAAATCATGGCAGTTAAATAGTGTTAATGATAAGAATATAATAGGTGGTAAGGCACAACATTCTGTAATTTTTAGGTCATCATCTAGTTAGAATGTTGTTGCACCTGCGTCGGATCGGATAGAACAGCACATATCAGTACGGTGGTAAAGGTTCATTCATCTACCATGAAAAATTCCTCTTATAGTTATATGATGCACTGTTGTGGGTTCCATGGGCATTTTCGTAGTCTTATTGTCAAACCGTCTAATGATAAATTTAAGCCGTATTAAGAGTGCGCGAGAGTATGTATTACGATTAGTTGACATTTGAATGGTTAAAACAAGTAAGAAAGGAGCAATTTGTTGAAATATATCCCCAGAAATATTTTTGGTAGCTCAAAATTTATGCAGGCCACTAATGTAGCTGACAGTAGATCAGTAAGCTATGTTATTGATGCTTCTTATTTCTGTTTCTACTGCCTATCAAGATGTACAAAGGCATAGCAGATACTAACCATTTTTTATTTGACTAACTTATTGTTCCTAATTTTTGCTATCTCACTTTGTTTTCTCTCTTCGTAAGGTTATTCGTATCTACTGTCCTAAATATGCTATTATCTTTTGCAATAATAAACACGAGCATTTACTGCGTACATTTTGTATATAAATCCTTTCAGGAGTATGATTTAAGGTTCAAAGAATTAAAGTCGTTAATCAGTCCTATTGAAAAGCGGCTTAATGAAGCTAAATACCGTCCAAAGGCTATTCTGTCGTTAGACAAAACAATTACATTAGCCGAGAAGACGTTAAATCAAATGATCGAATTATCAGATATGTTTTCAAAAACTTTCAAAGCCATGTCACTTGAACAACAACAGCAACTACAGAATGGATCAACTGTGGGGATTGAGGCACCCTTGGCCGGAACTCCATGGGCAAATGTGTTCACTGAGATTGAAATCCAAACTCTAAAAAATAAAATTAATGAAACAAAGGTAACTTTCTCCTGTTATTTAACTCATCATTTAGTTTGTTAGGCGTGAAACTGTTTTATGAAATGTATGATGGTTCTCAAGCTGACTTTAAATAAACATTTATCTCCATAGTTGAAATTTGTGGATGTGTTGTATGTATTTCATTCAGTATATACTCATGGAAGACAGTATTGAATTCAGCCTACTTTTGCTTGAAGCTTCCAAATTATTATTATAATATATATATATATATATATATATATATATATATATATATATATATATATGTCTTAGTTGTGAATCCTTTTTTCCATTTGAATCCAAATAAGTAGGCTTCATAATTAATTTGTAAGTTATGCGTTCGAGTTTTATAAATTATTGCAAACATTATCGTTTTCTCTTCTAAGTAAAAACTCTGTCTACTTTATTCTGAAGAAAATGAATGGTGGACAATATTTGTAACTTCTTTGTAATTACTTTGTTGATGTTTTCTCTGAGTTGGATGGTTACCGAGATTCACTCACAAGCTCAATGATAATGCTAATGTTTCGTTCAGTACTCTATAGCTAAAAGACAGGTACAGTAGCGAAAAAATAAGGCATGTTAAGTGTGAATGGCCGGAAAACTGAAATGCTAGTAACAGAGTATTTTACTCAACGATGTGAATGAAAGTACAACACTTCTTTTTGATCAGATATGTCTTTTATGTGAAATCTTGAACGATTATTTAGGAGGAATATTGTAACTCACATTGAATCAAATTTTCCGGAATACAATATATATATTTACATTGGTATTGTTGATAGCCTATTGTACTAAATTCTGACTTGTTTACAGACCTGGTTTGGTGAATCTACTGAAGCGTTAAATAAATCACCAACACAGCAGGATCCTCCAGTTCTAATTTCTGTTATTCAAAGTAAAGAGAAAGAATTGTCACGAGAGATTACCTATCATACAACTAAAATGGATTTATGGAGGACAGAGATTGCTCGTATGTTTGCTGAACAAACAAAGTGAATTCTGACACTCCACCCAATGGTATGTTTTTTTGTTGTTAAACAAAGTTTTTAAATATTTTCTCTGGTATCTCAGGATTTTTCGCACTTTGTTTCTGGCCAGCGCTAACATTCAAGCCTAAGAGAAGACATGGTTTCACAAGGCATCCGTGGACATCAAACCAACTATGGATAGAAACAGATGACACTGCGATCATTCATAGTTGGGCGGGATAAAATTCTGGAGCGATCACACCCTACTATGGGAACATGCGAATCTGCCCACTATGCTTCGTAGAAAACAGAAGGCAACTAAGCCTGTCTTTCCAGGACTGGAAGATGACAACATCAAGTACGTATTTAGGGAGAGACAGCTTTTAGCCGTTGACCTGAAGGTGACAGGAACGCTGATCGTGAGAAAGTTTGGCGTGATATCAAGTCTGTGGTAGAAACAACGATAAGGAGGGTTAGTGGGCTACTTCCGAAGGTTGACAAAAGTTGTAGAGTTTCCACAACCTCATCTGAGCTGATTCATGCAATAAGACTGATTCTGAACCCAATGAAGAGCGAAATTAAACTAGTCGTAACTCAAACAAGAGTCGTCTCAACGACTACGAGTAGCACTGCGCTGCGAAAGAGAGAAATAGAGAAGGCATCAGCGTTAGTAAGTAGCTGGTAACTATTTAAGCTAATGAGGATACTGGCAAGAAGAAGACGATTGGAGGTGAAACCATCATCAAAAAGGATGAAACGCTGACAACCTCTGAATAGTGACCAGAAAGTTAGGTGAAACAATTTGATGCATGGTTCATAACAACGCTTCTATTGCACAGCATTCAGCCCGAACATGTATGGGACGTAGATGTCGATCTTCCAACTCTCCTCGAAGTTAAAAAGGTTGTTTTTAACCTGAAACGATCCAAAGTAGTAGTACCTGATAGTTTGCCTTTAGATTTCAAGGATGGAGGTGGAAACTTACTGTGGAGTAACGGAGATACTAGGTAATGCATGTCATCAGACTAGTCTACGCCAATGATGATTCTAGCGTATAAGAAGAGATTGTAGGTTGTCAACAAAACTTGGTGAATTATTGAAAAGGTCGGAAATATGCAGTAGAGTTTTTCAGTTATTCAGCGCTTAACCTTATTCTACTTGGTCGGTCTTTAAATTGCTTAATCAACCAACAATCTTTATTTTACAGTGACGATGAAACCCGGTAAAGAAGAAGCACCGACTGTTGATGATGATAAAGTGATATCTGAACCACCAGTTCTTCAGAAAGATGAATCTACGATATCAACAGAAGAATCAACACGTAAGTTATGAAATATACCAACTAGTGTTTTTATTTTTCACTACATATTTGTGAGTGATAAATTCTGATGAGAATTTGCATTTTGTATGCACTGAATTGTGTGCAACACTTAGTACAGGCCGTTTTATTTCATGTTGCTTAGTTCACCTTCTAGTAGGTGACAAGCTCACAATAGTTCATTTAGTCGATTCTCCCACAGTGTATGTATTACTCTACCTGTTTAGCTCTGTCTTATTATATCTGGTATATTTTTTTTAGTAACATTTGTTATGTCAAACTTGTTTTCCCTGAATTAACAAGGAGTAATCATAACTCGGCTATGAATCATACCTACCGCATGATAATGAATAATACTGTTAGCTTATACGAATCTAGGAGCTGTGAGTAATTGGTTCAACCAGCGAGTTACAAGGTTTCAACCTTGTTCCATATGTCAGTTTTCAATGAGTGTCATAGTTTTGTACTTCATATCTCATTGCGCGAGTCTCGGCCTGGTAATAGTTTGCATTATTATTACATGTAGATTATAGTAGTATTGAGTTTGAACTTACTAGACTTCTGTGGTTGAATTTAACGTTTATCTACCATCAGGTCTGAAATCCACTTCCTAACAGCATAAGTAGGAGGCTATCGTTACCATAATTAGCAAAAAGATTCTGTAAATTCTGAAGTTGGTTATGAAGATTCATGTAAATTAGGACAAAGGTGTGTCCATATAATGTAAATTGTGTGTCTAAATGATTGTTATTTGTACTTCTTGACAGGCTAGAATACTGATTACTCAGTCGAACAGTCTTTTAGTAGAGTTGAAGATAACTATAACTGTGTTTTTAAACTGTACACAATGGCACATGATTTTAAAAAAAAATTAGGATTTTTGAACTTTCACTAATTTTACTGCTAAACTGCAATGCTAGCCATCACCGTTAGGTATTAGCGAGAGAAGTTATTATGTCAGTTGTTAAAAGATGTAACTCTCCATCATTGTTTTATATAATGAATTTGTAATCAGTGCATTACAGATTCTTAACTCATTTGATAAGTGATTAGTAATTGTATATAATGTATTTTGCGGTGAATAGGGGCTTTAATTTCCTAATAGTATCCATCACTAGCTGAGGTTAGTTAGAGAACAATTGGGGACCTAGGGGTATTGGAGAGATGTTTTGTCCTAGTGTGGAATTCCTCAGCAGCACGCACCCACAACCCGGCTAGAGATCGAACTCAGGACCTTAGGGTTTTCACGGCGGAGGCGTTAACGATTCAACCACTGAGTCAGAGTTCAGTGGTTCACAGCTTTACTTCTGTCAATTTGAGATATAGCGTGACTATCACCTAAGGTCTTCAGTTGGCATCCGCTTCCTTTCCGACTGGTTCTGCAACTGCTGATGAATGGTTCCGCGAAATTAAAATCCCCATTCACCTCAAAATACGTTAATGTATAGTGCTCACTAGTGAAATGCTTCCAGATGGATATCCCTAAGTTCTAGTAAGATGTCGTGACCTGTGGAGTTAACCAGTCAAAAGGGAAGCGAATACCAACTGAAGACCATGGGTGATAGTCGCGCTATATGGCAAACTGATGGAAGTTGGAACCATTGAACTCTGACCCAGTGGCTGGATGGTTAAAGCTTTCGCCTAGAAACCTTAAGGTCCTGAGTTTGATCCCTAGCCGGATCATGGGTGCGTGCTGCTGAGGAGTCCCATACTAGGACGAAACAGCTGTCCAGTGCTCCCAGGTTTCCAATGGTTTTCCACTTGCATATATTAGTAATTTCAGCTGATGAACTTTTGTAAAGTTCTACCAACACTTCGTCCAGAAATACCACCAGCAGCCGCTGAACTACAAGTGAACATAAATCCTTTAACAAAAGTGGAAGTCCTGGGCTCCATAAAGCTACTAAAACGTGGGGAAGCAGCAGGACTAGATGGAATCCCGCCAAAAGCACTGAGAGCAGACGCAGGGACGACAGCGGACATGCTCACACCACACCATTATTGCAGAAGGTCTGGAAGGAAGGAAAGGTACCTGCCTATTGGTTGTAAGGAGGGCTACCTTGTCAAACTCCCAAAGAAAGGAGACCTAAGTCTTTGCAAGAACTGGCGCGGAATCACTCTCCTGTCCACCCCAATCAAAACATTAAGTCGCATCATCCTGCAGAGACTTAAGGATGCACTGGATTTAAAGCTACGGCTGGAACAGGCAGGCTTCAGGAAATACAAATCATGTGAGGATCAAATTGCAACGCTTCGCATCATCATGGAACAGAGTATAGAATGGCAGTTGACTCTCTACTCAACTCATCGACTTTGAGAAGGCCTTTGACAGGGTCGACCGAGAGGTAATTTGGAAACTGCTTCGATACTACGGAATACTGCAAACCTTCATCAATCTCATTCAACAACTATATGAAGATGCCACATGCCAAGTAATTCACAATGGGAAGCTCAGTGATGCCTTTGAAGTGAAGTGAAGACAGGAGTGAAACAAGGCTGTCTACTATCACCCATGATATTCTTGATTGTGGTGGACTGGATCATACAACAAACAGTGGGGAGCGAGAAGAGGGAAATACGTTGGCTGGACTGTGGAAAAGAACCTAGAAGACTGGATTTGCCGATGACTTGTGCCTGATGTCACATAAACTTGAAGATCTACAGGCGAAAACTAAGAAGTTGACAGAAGAGGTAGGGAAGACGGGACTTCAAGTGCATATAGAGAAGACAGAGGTAGAGGTGATGAAGATACCCAACCAACAACAACAACAAACTCCAATCACGATCAACGGGAGAAACTTAAAGGAAGTAACCTCCTTCACCTATCTAGGCAGGGCAGCACTGTTTCAACTGCAGGCGTCACCGACGAGGATGTCAAAGTCAGGATCGGAAAAGCAAAACAAGCGTTCATTGGCCTGAAACCAGTGTGGAGATCTTCTGCACTGCACTCAGCATAAAGCGTGAACAAGATACGGATTTTCAACACCAACATGAAGTCAGTGCTTCTGTATGGCTCAGAGACTTGATGCGTTACGAAAGGGATTTCCAACAAACTACAGACATTAATCAACAACGACCTACGCTCGTTATTGAAGATCAGATGGATTGCCAGAAAGAAAAGGCAACAAGGAACTCACTCTGGCTGGTGACGAACCAACCAAGAACCTATCGCTCAACAAATATGTAGAAGGAAGTGGAGATGGATCGGGCATACACTGAGAAAGCTGACTGGGGACATCACGCATCAGGCCAGTCACTCGAGTGGAACCCCGATAGGAAGCGACGAGTTGGACGTCCGAGATGAGGGTGACATGGAGGAGATGGTGTGAGGAAAAAATGAGAGGTTGTGGGCTGTCGTGGAACCAGGTTCAAAAGATTGCAGAGAGGAGTGGGATGGAGACGTGCTACTGAAGCCCTATGTTCCACTAGGAACCCAAGGGACAAATAATATAATAATAACGTAATTTGCCTTTCAGCATTCTTAGACCGTTATTTATTGATTGTAAGTTAGAGTTTTAAGGATATGATCATTTTCACTTGTCTTAAATGTTTCCGCTGCATTTCTTCATCCCTCCTCTCTTTTCATATCGTACCCCTTTATGTCCATATTTTATTACGTTTGTTACATTTCCTTTCCTATGCAGGTCTGAAGCTTAAGAACATTAACCGTAGTGTGATTATATTAGGCAGTTTTTGTTCATGCGTATCTGTCTAGGGGCGTATATTAAAGTGCCTGTATTCAGCGAACAAGCTGTTTGCACTACCTCATTCCTTTTTGATTAGTTACAGTTAAGAATCGAACTAATATCTGTCTTGAAGATTTTTAGTGTTTTTAAAATGTTAACAAACCAGTAGGAAGACTGTATTCATTGTTAGTGTTTAACACCTAGTGTTAGATTGAATCTCTCCACAAATTTTTTTATGTTATCATACTTGGTAACTTTTAAAAATGAGGTGAACTTCATTTCATGGCATTCATTACTAGGTTATGTCTGCAAGCTTCAAGAGAAATATGGTATTACTATTATTATTCACGGCGTCTTATTGATTTCATATGATTATGGAACAATAAACTGGCTTAAATCTTGCTTCTGTAATCCGGGGATTGGATGACATGAATCTTAGTTGGCCATAACTGTTTGTATTAGAATTTATTAACGGCAACTGATTGTAGCCAGTTATAGCTGTGGTTACGTACACTCAATATAGTGTTATTTTATGTCCCACCACTACATAACCTATAAATTAATCGTAGTAATAATTTCATTTTTCTGTTTTTCTGTTCTAGGAACACCAAGACCGGAGCTGTGATATCAAGGAGACAGAGTGAACTGTAATGCTGTTTGGATAACAACTATCTTACAAATAGTTAACAGTTACACACTGTACTAGTCTTTGCTTTATTTAGTTATGATGATGTGATGTTCACCTAATTTTTCATGTGAGGTTTTTATTTCCCATTGTTCTATAAGACTTACTTTTTTTATTGTAAACATCTGTGAATGCAATTCTAGGAGTTATTTGGAATGTTAATACAACGTATATATATATGTAATATTATATGAATCTGCTGTTGTTTTCCATACTGTTTTTGTGTATATCAATCAACTGGTTGATATCTACTCTGTACACTGCACGTAATAAATGTATATGTTAATTTGTTTTTCTCTTTTCCATCATTTGCACATTAAAATTTAAAACTCAGTAGTATTCACGTTTTTTCTTCATCGTGATTCTTTAGTTGTCATTATTCTCTCTTAAATCTTTGTAACATCTATAGTTAAGTTGTCCCATTAAAGAAAACAATAAGTATGTGTAAAACTGGTGACTGAATGCATTTTCATTTACCATTGTGTCATGCATGATGAAGATAGATAGAAAAAATCAATGTAGAGTCTCGCAAAGTAATGTTTCGGTTCAAGTTTCCACACTTCATAACAGCATGCAAAGAAAAAATGGATTCAAACCATTCTTTCCTATCATATCGAAGATTCTATTCCGGCTATCCTCACCTCTCTTTACGGCCCACATCCACTGTTAGAAGCTTCATAGACTAGTGCCACGTCTTGGTTTGGCAATCCTTAAGCCTCTTCCAACATAATCGAGCTTCACCTAGTATGAGACGTGGAGGTTCTCAGCTGCTCGGCCCCGGGGAGTGTATGTCCAAGCCATTTCAGTCGATTAAGGTTCACAACCTCATCAATCGACTAGACCGTCCTGTCTAGTACCCTTCGCCTGACCTAAACATTGCTATGCTAAAGACCTTAGACGGCTGTGTGAATTTGAGTATAGAGCTTTGATAGGCTTCATAACTTTTTCGGTACTCCCTTCACAGTCAAACACTGCCACATCATCTCAAGGTCGACAGTCGAATACCCTTTTCAGGTCAAAAATATGGTGAGTGCCGGTCATCCCCAAGATCTTGGACAGGATATTTTCAACCAATTACCCTATAGTTGTCACAGTCGGATTTCTCTCCCAGTCTGACGACACTACCTGTGATTCCCATACGCTATCTAGCATTTCTGTCACTTTAATTAGCAACTTCCTACCTCCATCCTTGAAAACATCGAGTGGCAAACTATTTGTTCCTGCTGTTTTAGATCTTTTCTGGTTGGATATAGATGATATGGGATCCATAAATGCCTCAAAGGTGGCTTTCTGATCGGCTCAGCTTGAACTTTAAAGTCGCCTGCTTTTATAACTTCAATCGAAAGTTCAGCTTTATGCAGTGAAAATTGAGAGATATTAGTTTAATTCATCTTCTGTATCATTCGAGTTGCAGTTGATGGGCGAGTGAGTAAGTAGTAAAGATTGTGAATAGGCTTCGGCAAATCTCACTATTCTTCCTAGTGTCTGAAGATCGATTCAGTTGAAAGGAACACAGATAGCTTGTGACTGTTATGCAGTCGTGAATTGGGATTTCTTCTCAGAATTTAGTGCTGTGTTGCACCAGCGAATCGTGAGAGTTAGTTGTTGAATCTCGAGAAGTGGATTTTGGAGATTCACTGCATTGGGGAGGTGAGGTGAGGTTAAGTGAATAATCACACTTGGGTCCAGTATACGTGTCTCAGTGATACAGAATCCATCCATGGTGCTCGACTCCAGACTTCTGGCTGGAGATACTAATTGTTGGATTTTCATTGGGTTCCATCATTGAAAGTTATAGTTGTAAGCTGAAAGTAGTGAACCGATAACCTGTATTTGAATCCACTCTTTATTGGAGTGAAGCCAAATCCCAATGAGAAAAAATTAGTTTGCCATTTTTAATGGGATATACTTCTGCGAATGGAATTTTTTATACTGATGTAGGTGTGCATCATTTAGTTGTGTGGAGATACACTGTAAATATCACCTTAGGACGATTTATTTTTTGGAAACTGAAAGCGTACTTCAATGTTATCCTAGCTTGACGATCGAATCTTTCTATTTTCACTTTCTATTGCGAACTAATTTTTTGTGATAGGAAGTTTTGTTTTAAGTGAAAAATAGCGCACCATCGCTTTTGAAATCTTCGGTTGATGAGACGAGATTGTAAAAAGACAGAACTGCAAGCGCATGAAGCATTTTTCTCCTTTGATTTTCGGTTATCATATATTGCAGATTGGTTGAATTTGAAAAGTACTAGTTATTGTTTTTGAATCAGTGATAACTGGCTTCGTGTAAAACCTGGAAATCTTTGGATAAATGCTTCGACATTTCGCGAAAATTCCGAGTTGTAAAAGTGAGAAAGTTGAATTAATTCTCTCCAAGTCGTAAGTATCTGTTTTTCGAAACAATAAATACTATTAGAATGAAGTCAGCTAAAACATTTTAGTCGTCAGTTTTCATCCTTCTTCATCTCGAGAACTTGGACGTGTTCGTAAAAGAGGTTGCACCGCAGCAAATGTAGAATGGATAAGTGACATACTTTTACAACTGGGTTCTTATCAATTGGAAAAAAAATGCAAACCATTCTGTTTCCTTTAGAACCTATTCATCATTTTGGAGTAGAAGTTACTTCTGAATTTGGAATTCTAGTGAGATGCAGGAAGTGTGGTATTGAAAACAGAGACCAATTGTGACTCTCAAAAGAACAGTTTATGCAGCCGCTCTGAAAATTACCTGTACTTGTAGTTCAGTGGTGAGCGTTTATACGAGGAACTAACTGCTACTTGCAAATGCTTAAACTGATTCATCTATTCCGACGGAGGTAGGTATGTAGAGACAAAATATTCAATGTCGACACTAACACCTTTCAGCCTGACCCAGTGAATGCCAATACAAGTCAGTCTACAGCTCCTTATTACATCATTTAGTTCACCAAGGACAGTTCTAGACTTATTTGTGGTGGTCTACAAGGTATAACGTAATCTCTTCATGGTTGTGATGAAAAGTTCGCTTTGCATTGTTAAGGGTTTGCCGATACGAAGATTGAAATCAGAATTGTCTATCCTGAGGCAGCTTGGCCATTATCTGTCCTATTCATAACTTAATTTTTCCAATTTTCACGTTGGTACTACGTGTATAATTTTAACTCAGTTACTAACATCGTATTTCCTTCCTCACTGAAAACTGTTGACTCGCTTTGTTACGGATTCTTAATTTCAGCTCACAATTACTTATTCGCTTAATCAACTATTTTCATGTTTCTTACATACCTTCCATTCCTTTTATTATTTTCCTTGGTCACAAGCTACTGAGAATTATTTGTTGACAATACTGACATTTTTCCACTGGTTGTATTTAATTGCGATTGTACAGGTGTTGCTTCTAATATCTCTGACAACAAATTTGTTCACTAAAGCCTTGCTTCTACATTTTGTGACAAAAACATTTAAAGAAATAAACGGAATTCAAATTTTTTCGGAAAACGTCTTATGAAGAAAGATCACCGATTATGCAATATGCGTAGTTTATTTTTTTCCTTGCAATAGCAACATGCGGTTATGACCTCGAAGTAAAAATATATTTACAACTTAGTAGTAAGAACGAAACGGGCTAATCTAGGTGCAAACGATGGAATAACCATTTTAAGAAGAAAGATGAATACAGTGCAAAAGTTAAGGTGACTGTCAGAGCATTCACCTACTAGCAGATGTACAAAGAAAGTATATCCAGTAAAGTCTTTACTAATTCCAGTATAAGTGTCGTGAGGAGTACAGCGTTTCTTAACGTATATATATACATTATATATATATATATATATATATATATATATATATATATATATATATATATATATATATATATGTAGATATCAAGTTCACTGTAAGACAGAACAAGTTACTTTATTTGTAATGTTGGAAACGATTTATTATACAAGGTTCTGTAATTTTTGAACACGTTTTTTTCAATAAAATGCTTTATCTTATCATTCATAGAAACATGTTTTTCCGGGTGTTATAAAGTACTTATTCACAATGAATGGAATATTCTGACTAGACTCCCATTCGACGAACACCACATTCAGGACAAAATTTTGCTGCGGAACTTGGGAAAGTACTACCGCATTCAAAGCAAAATTTGCTTGATTTTTCGTTCATCACTCCTCCTTTCAAGCTGTTGTTCCTTAAATGAGTGGTAGTTTTGTTGTTTGTACGTGTCGCTTGACTGAAATATAATAATAAATAGTGTTATGATGCATAAACTCGTAAGAGTATTTTGTATTATTGGTTTACAAAACAATAACTCCGAGTAACATAACGAGGTATAAAATCATACCTGTTGGGACTCTGGATAAATGTTTCTTCAGATAGCATCTGAGACCTTGGACTCAGTTGGTGATTAGCATTTTCAACTCCACTGCTGATAACCATTTCCTCTTGTTGGTAAGTAGTGTCTGAATTATGACTACCTGAACGGTCAAGATTTGTGTTTTCTCTGATGCTTGCAGTGATATTCGTGCTGATTAAAGATTTTGAGTTATGAAAGCTTGATTCATAAGCACTGTTTTGCAGATCGGGTGAATGATTATCTGGTATTAAAGGATCTAACGGAAAATCTGCAGTATTCGAAGAGTAGTGGGCAGACACTTGTCTCTTTTTTTCTATTATTGGTAGTGTAATACACGAGGTTTCCGTAGTTAGGTTAAGTGCAAGCTTACGGGCTTCTGCATACTCCTCTTGAGTACGTCTGATCTTAGCACTACTCCGTTAAATGAATTAATCTCATAATGCTTAGCTGTCATTTTAGTGTGCAAGTTGTTATGCTTTCTTCCAGAACTAACAAGCTTCTGAGCTCTGTGGCTCAGGATTTTTGACTGTCGGAAATTTGTGTATGATTCTGAATCCAAATGATGGTTATATTTAGCTATATTAGTTTTATAAGGAAAAGTCATATTCGAGCAAAGTTCTTCTGATGGTCTTACTGTAGACTCTTGAAAATCAAAGGTTTTATCATTAGACTGTTTTGCCCATTAACATACCGTGCTTGACCGACAGGTACACCTCGATTAGGGGTGGGTGTAGTCTCTTCTTTCGATGGGTAAGATGGTTTCATCTAGTTGACAAAATAAAAGAGATAGAAAGAATTCTGTTCAAGGTACGAGATTTTTGAAACAGAGAATGATGTAAAGCTTTAAATTATGAAATGAATGGCTTTTGTTTATCAGTTCTCAGAGTTATCTGTCAGCCTTGATCCACAGTAGATAGATTTACCCGAACACAATGCTCAATACAGGTATCTATGTTTGGGCCATAAGTTAAAGGAATCACGGTATTATGCTCAAACATCTGTAGGTGAAGGGAAATTTTCAACCGCAGCCCAGCAATTGAAAACAATGAGTTGTATCCACAAATTTTTCTCAACTTAGTTTCAAGGATGACCTTTTTAGGTAAGTAGCGACTGCAGTCATAGGTAATGCCGAACAATTGTATCTTCTGCGTATATGTATCTGATTCTGGAAGAGAGTGAATTCGCGTTTACTCTCTCTCCCTCTTCAATGGAATCTAATTATTGTGCGTTTGATGCTGGCTCTCCATTAATCAAATTTTAAAGAGTACCACTAGATATTCCTGTAAGAACATTGAGAAATTGAAATTTCGAATTAACCTCAGATTTACCCCGTTAACCGATAGCAACCATCAGAGTTTCAAATCATGGTTTCCAAGTAACTTTTTGCATCATATGTATATGTAGTTCATTTGTCTGCTACATAAATGAAAGTCTTCAGTCATCACACAGTACAGTATCCTCAGAGTTCGTACATGAGAAGTCGCAAATAAGAAGATCAAGTGATGACCTCATAGCTACTTCTTCATTTGGCAATAGAACTCAATTAAATCAAAAATAAACGTTAAATGTACAACTTGGATTTAACTCTTTTTCTAGTAATGTTGAGGAACACCAACATCATGGTTGTTGAATTTGTAGGTTTGTTGGGATTTATTTATTCATTTTAGGTTGTTGTTCATCATGGACTGATATCAAGTGGAGAAACACTGAAAACCTGGGAGCATTAGATTAACGTTTCTTCCCAGTGTGAGACTCCTTACGAGTGCGAACCCATAACCCCGCCAGAGGTTGAATACAGGACCTTCAACTTTCATGGCCAGCACGTCACCATTGAGCCACTGGGCCGTTATTCAGTCGTCCACATTTACTACTTCTGTCAGTTCAAGGTGTAGCGCGACCTATCAGTCGGGGGAATATCAGAAACCTGGGGGCACTGGACAGCTGTTTCTTTCCAGTATGGTACTCCTCAGCAGCGCGCACCTATGACCCGGCCCGCCAGGGGTCGAACTTAGGACCTTCAGGTTCTGTTACCATTGGGACACTGGGATGGAACCCAATCGTTTGATTCCTGGCGGGGTCATGGGGGCGCACTGCTGAGGAGTCTTATACTAGGACGAAGCAGCTATCCAGTGCCCCCAGGTTCCCAATTTCCTACAACCAACACCAATCCATGATCAATTCCAACCTAAAATCAATTTCACAATTAGTTTATTGTTTCTCTGTCATCCCTTAACCGATAGTCCTCGTTTCTTGCCTCATCTTTCAAGTAAACACTGTGTATTTGGTACCGATTCACACCTCGTTGATGATTTATGATAAGTAAATGGTAAAGCTTTGTCTGTGTTTACTTGATGACTGCTGTCCACAACATGTGCTAGTGCAGAACTCTTAAGCTGTTCTTTAAACAGTTATATGATGGATAACGCCTAAAAATGTTTCGATTGGTTTGTTTGGCTGTGCACCGTATGCAACTAACTCCACAAGAGCAGTTGAATACACAAGTGAAATTAGGAATTGCAAAATAAGATAATCTTTCCCTACAACTTGCATATAAGGCTGGAAGATTTTGCAAGTAGGAAACTAATTCTCAACGGTGAATACTTTCAGGTGATCTGCTCTTAAAGAATGAGTCGTTATCTCGTTGATTTTTTTCACCTTTAAATTCAAAGAGATAGGTGCATTTGAAACTGTTGTCACTTGCAGCTTAACGAACCATGAAGAAATATTTAGATAGTGAGTTATTGCGAAGAAAAGAATAAAAAGAGAGATAAGCTGATGCTTTTCGCGAAGTGAACATAAAGTGGTTATGAAGTCATTTTAAACGTCTAAGAGTCAGAAAGGAATTGGGGTTGGATAAGTCATTTTGTGAGTGAGGCTCTGGATCGCCTTTGCACATAGTTAAATCCTTAGTAATATAGACAAGGCGGAAAAGTACTGACTTTAGCAGACTGCATTTTCATCCATCAGCTAACTTCCTATAAAGGGTCCATGCAGTTTGACTGACCAATGTCGATGAGGATTTTATGAATGATACTTCATCGATATAATGCTTATCCCGTAGGAGTAGAGACGTCTTCAAAATGACTGGAAGATAATGGTAGACTGAAGGACACTACTATCAACATTATTCAAGGACCGTTCAAAATTCGTTGTCTTAGGACTTTTCACCTTTTTTATTTTTAAAGTTCATAATCTACATCTCCGAAACGGCAAAGGTATCATCTTTCCGAAGCATATGCTTGATGGTTTTAGCCTATAAACTGTTTCTAATAAGGATTTTTCTTAAATGGATTATTTCTTGCGCAATGATAAAATTGCAGAGGCATTCGATATAAATATGTAGGAATTGCATCATATTTTTTTTTAGCGACCGATAAACACTCCACTCTAAATCCTTTAACTGATCATTACATGTGTGCTTTCAATAAATGGAATTCTGCATAGTTACATCGCTGAATAACGATGAAACGTATTAGCAGTTTTTGTTATGATAACTTATTCCACATACTATCAACAAATCAATTGTAAACTTCAAATGCAGTGAAAGTGTTCACAAAAAAAGTAGTGAAACTAATGAGAGGGAACTCTCGCTGAATTACCTGTTTTTTTATTTCATATTCTGTAGTATCCATATTAGAATCATCAAAACTGAAGGTAAGCGTTTCATTCGTACGGAAATTTAGCTAGTTCAATGTATCACTTTTTGATACATATCTTGAGATATCTAATTATGGTTACCTACTACTGGATCTGTGTACTTACGACTTGTTAGACTAGTCTACAAACCTTTGGAAGGGTGTTACTAAAACGTCCAGTGTATACACCTCAAGGTGATATAGAACTGTGATCTGGTTGGTTTTCACAAAGTAAAGTGAATATCTGAAGGTATTCTTTATTCCATGCATGAATACATTATATTTAACATATCATAATGAAATTTATAATGTTCAGTATTTTATCATGTGCAAAAAATATCGACCTACCATTTCATCATTATTTTTACCTAGTTCACGAGAACTTCGTACACCAGGATTTGATGAATTCTCTGCGTTGAATATAAAAATAAAAACATTTTTTGAGTAATTCGTATGAGGAATTATTCTAATGTAAAGTATTTCTCTCATCATAATATATACATGAAGAAAAGAAGCGATAAAAATTAAATTAAAAAACTGTTATACACTACTACAAGCAAATTTTTAAGTGTTCATATTCTAATTTCAAATGCTGCGCAGTGCTGAAAAATCTAAGAAACGAAGACGAAACATGTGTCAAATGTACCTTGGCTATTTCGGTCTTAGATATATCTATAAAGTAAAGTCTCTTGATTAAAAGTGATCAGCTGAACACATACTGTTGTAGAATGCAACCATTGGAAGTGATCCTTATAAATAGATTTAAATTCTGTACTTGTTGAGCATTATTTATATTCACTGGAATCAAGAATATATCAGAAATGGTTCAGTGTTCACTGAGCTTTGATATTCTGTTGAAAATGCTTCTTCGCTAAACTTAGTGACATCTTTAACAGAGACGTCTTGATAAAGCTAACATTGAGGATGTCACTAAATAGCTTTTATTTTAATTAACGATTGAGAGTTTAAATCATTAGAGGAACTACATGGTCAATTTTCGAATGAATAGGTTGGAGATACCTAGTGAGATTATCTAAAGTCAATGAAAGTAAGGGAAATGTATACGCTGGTTATTTTTATCGTGTTTGTTAAATTGTTCAGTCATCAGATTTATCATTTCGATCATGATAGAGAAGTCATAGAAATATCTGAGTATGTGTAAAGAGACTTAGGAACAAATGATCCTATTAATTATAGACGAATAACGAATGTCATTTTGACAGTCTGAAATAGCTGTAGTATTTATACTGCGTGATGATTGAAGGTGAATTGAAAATTTGGACGCTGCCGGGTTCGAACCAGCGACCACCAGGTTTCCGGCCCAGTGCCCTACCAACTGAGCTACGAGGCCCTACTGGTAGTCGGGCGAAAGCCTTGGGGATTGAGGTGAAGTAAAAATATGGTCATTAGTCGGGCTTTGTATCTTAGTTGGTAGAGCACCGGGTCGGAAACCGTAGTCGGTGGTTCAATCTGGCTGTGGTCCAAATTTTCATTCACCTTCAATCATCACCCAGTATAAACAAAGAATAGCTTAATACCTATCTGTTTCTATTATTTGGTTTTTACTGGATTTCCTCTCTCTGTGTTGCGAAGATTAATGCTTACTTGTGTATAATCAAATGCTAAGTGAATGCTATTATTATTATTATTCTTAAAGCAGAAGCTCATGGTTTTAACTTCCTCCACACAGTGGAATATTTTGGCGAATTCAAAAACACTAGATTTTCTATCGGCATATTTCGTTACTAAATTTATTAAACGGAAGGAATTCTTAATCAAATAATCAAATTAGGATTGGTGGTAGGTTTTGAAATTACAAACATTTTTTGCAACGACTTGTAGTCAGCCAGTGGTAAATTGTCTGATATATAGGAGGTATCAACTTATATTGATTGGTCACTGAGAGCAACTAATCTCATGTTATTCAGTTCTGAATGCAGACCGAATTCTATCTGTCATTCTGAAATGTGACCATCAACCTAGGAGAATCATCATCGTGGTGAGGAAATTTGTTTACTATGATCTATAAAATCCACTGCAACATTTATGAGGAATACGACACTGAACCAGAGTGTATATATTTCGCTTGCCTGCGTATGTGCATATACGAACAAAAGAATCAACTATATTTCAGTCACATTATCTACAGTTTTAAATATAATTTGCCAGCAGGCAACTATAAAAAACAGTCTAGTCATCATATTTAACTGGCTTATTGACTATCTGTTTCATTTAGTTACCAAACCTTAAATTACATATCACATTTTTACATTACTGCCAAAAATTATCATGGATGCTAGAAGCGGTTATGATTTTCTATCAATCTGACTACAATTTCAGCACCATTTTCATCTGAGACTACCAAAGCATATCCACTCTGGAATAACATTGTCAAATGATACGAATAGTTATCTACAATTCAAACTGATCTACGATCTTAAGAAATACTATTCAGCTGTATGATTGTCAATATATGAATAATTCTCTTGAAATTATTGAATCATTACAATCCCATTTAGTTTAACTGGTTACTGAAGTTGTTTTAGTGCACCACTGATGAGCGAGGTGTGAAACGAGTAAAAGTATCCTACCGCTAGTTAGGCGATTACGAGTTGATTGCTGGTAACCCACACACTTTATCTATCTGATTGAGTAAACAAGCTTGGTTCAGCTAACTGAGTTCAAATTTGTTGCATTTATGATTAGCTGACCAATAACTACACTTCCAGTGATTCAGATGAATATCTAACCAATGTTGTATAACCTTGGTCAGTTGATCAACGGTTCTTAATCATGACATTTGAACCAGATCATTAACGCTTTTTGGGCCATATGCATTTCCATAAAGACTTGTACAAATACATTTTTCGTTTGAATCCTATAGCCAATACAAACGTGTGTTCTCATTGTGTGAGATAGATAGAGTGGAAGGGTCAACCTCATCTGTGAATACTAAAAAAAGTATAGGGATAAAGTCCTACTGTGACAAACTACAAGAATTAAGTATAATGTTTCACTTAATGTCACTGCAGTGATTACAATCAAATTACTCCCTTTGTAGTTCTAATTGCCACCTTGTTCAAAACTGTTGACTTATTAAAGCAATTAACACATCATGAAATGATATATATTTAGCGTTTTAAAACTTAATTTACCAAGTAAACATATTAAACGTCTAATGGCATTTATTTTTCCCTCAGTTATTTTTAAAAATTTACTGGAACAGTATCTCACATTTCCATAATATTCTTAATAGCAACTTTTTTCTGTTACCATATATATTAGTATTGTAAGAAATACCAAGTAAATTACAATCCGCCATGTAATCTCGATTGTATTAAGACCAATTAACACATTAATCAAGGTCCTCAGAAGACGTTTACTATACTGCACCAGGGGATAACATAATCAAATATACAAAACTCTCAAGATATCGTAAATTTCATTCCACTACCATGATATTACTGCACAAAGGAGTTGTCCTCCTTAGTCATTGAAAATGGATAGCACTACGTATAGTGAGGACCGTTGACTCAATGCTGACAGTTATGTACAAGAATAGATCATCACCACTCACATCTGCAATATAATGATCTCGCATAATGCTTAAGAAGCGGGATCAGCCCTGGTGGCTCAGTGGCCGATGAAATCTCTACACAAATACAAAAGGTGCAGTTGGCTTTTGTCAACTTACGCCAATTGTGGCGCCGCCATGATTTCCGATTGCCTATTAAGGGTTGCATGCACTGCATAGCAGTCCACTCTGTTCTACTTTATGGCCATGAAACATGGCCATACAAGGTGGAAGACATGAGAGAAGGCTTCAGGTGTTTGACCACCGTTGCCTTCGTAGTATAGGCCGGATTCCATGGTATCACCACCTGAGTAACTCAGAAGTCAGGCGTAGAGTTTTAAGGGGAAGAGGTAAGTCAGTTGACATGGTTGTTAACCCTCACCGAATGAGATGGCTTGGACATGTGTTACGTATACCTGGCCACCGTCTGCATCGTCACACAATGTTGACCGTAGGAGATTCAGGCTGGAAAAAGGTTCGAGGCGCCCATCCTTAATGCGTGAAATATTTGACTATTGGTTAGAGCCATGTACGGCGACACAGACTAGCTGCTTGGGGTCCGCGGGACAAGAGAAACCAGTGACTGAAGACTCTAGGAGATATGGCTGAGAACTAAAGTTAGTGGCGCAGATGAATACACACATTATCCTCATCTTAACGCTATAAAGAATCTCCCCATTTTCCCATTCTTCCTTCCTCTCTTTTCGCACTTTGTATTTCTTTTGACTGAATTTTCTTTTCATCTTCCACTTCACTGCCTTTTTTACTTGATGTACTGATATGAGATATGGCAACTCGGTCCGTTACGCAGTAATGACTGGTCCTATGTTGATTTGGATGGATGGATAATGCTGAGGAATACTAGGTGATGATCAAACAACCGTTGAGTGCTTCACGGATCATATATTCTGTTCACAATACTTCATTTCTGTCTATTCTGTTCATTTAAATTGCCAGCAAGTACTTATAATTGTTGCAGCGCATTAGTATTTCCTCCAATGTTTGTCTTGGCAGTATGTTAAGTTTTATTCAAACTGCATTGAAAGATAAGTGGTAAGAATAGAGGGATTGGCTTAAAAATTCACGTGAAGAGCGAATGAAAGATAAAATGCAAGTTTATCTGATACCAATCCAGTAAACCATAGCACATACAGAACTAGATATTAAGACTTGAACTATATTCTCCTTGACAAAAAGGGAATGCATACAGAAAAAATTGCAGAATTTTTAATTACGTGCTGATTTTGCCATCTGTGGTATTCCTCGCCTAACAGTTCGAGTTGAACTTGAGTTTGTGTTGGTTAGACTTTGATGATTATCAGAGTAAGTAGATGACCCAAAAGTATTTCGTGAACCAGAAGCACCATAAAGATTTGTACTACCTCGCTTGGGGACATCAACTTTGACTGAAGGCTAGTTATGAAGAACAATGAAACCATCGCATAGACAGTAAATGATATAATGAAATATAATAATTTTAAGCACATTAAAAGTCACATTGTTTAGAATTAAATGCGTATATGACGCTTGACAGTCAGGCATAACATCAGCTATCAATATACTGATGGTTAACAATGCTGAAGGTTTATATGCATTTATCAGAAAAATATTTCAGTTGTGGAAGTTAAGTTACTGGCCATAAAGGCTTTGTGAAACACCTTGATCTAACTTACTTACAACGTCATTGGCAAACATTGATTGGTCACTCTCGAGGAATCAACTTTACACTTTTTAGTCCTAAGTGCTGACCAACTTCTATCTATCATTTTGCAGTGACGCTGTCAAGCTAAAAAACTCAGGATTGTGGCGCACTTTGACTTACATAACAGTATGAAATTGCTTACTCTTCAGTTACCAATAAATTAATATCATTCAGTCCTGCAGGTAGTCAGCTGTAGCCCGAATAACGTCTTTGTGTTCAGCACTATGATGTAGGTCCACTTCTCTAAGAGGACATCAACCCTTAAAGGTTGCAGTCACAGCTTGCCAATAACAGCCATACCCCATAACACTCGGCTTGCTACCGATTTGTTCTAACCGATAATTTTAGCGTCAGTCTGGTGATGATACTTGAGATGGTGCTTCGATTGGAGGGGTATATATATATATCTTGGCAAACTAAATAAAGGTTGTGATGCACCTTGTTAGATTGTCGTTAGCTGGACCAAGAGTCCCTATATATACGCTGCTGTCACTATTTCGCTTATGCATAATTGAGATGTATTGCGTAAAGTTTTCAGTTTGATTTTAAACTACTAACAAGTAATATATATTTTGACCGTAAAACGCTGCTTGTGCTCGAAAACAAACGAATGATGTCAGTTGCATTCACTTCGTGTCGATACAGTCGTAAAGCAACCAATAATCATCAGTGAGTTAACGTGGTTCACAAATGACGGGGTTAGCGTAACTGCGAAATTCAGCAGATAATTTTCTAGGCTTTCCACATATGTTGATTATAGGATTTTATTCAGGAGTTGAATGGCCCGAAATTGCGCTGTATTTTAGAAGAGTTCAGTTTAAAATGTATTATAGTACTGTTCTTAAAATGGCATCTCTAAGAAGACCCCCTATGGTTCGACACGAATATCGATATTCTTTGATTGTCAGGCATTTCACTAATCATCAGACCGTCTTTTCAACCACCTCTGGCACGGCAGTCGTAGGCGTAATGTCCACATTCTCCATGTCTTTAAAATATGTCTGTTAGACAAAAATACTTCATTCAAAGAGAATAGCACGGTGTGTTTTGAGCATAACGAAATCAAAAAGAAATCATGGTGATGTTTTTCAATTTAGTGTCATCAGATTATGCCATTGACGTCTCTATTATTTTTAAGCAGTTATAGATTATAATCAAATTATATTTTGACGCAAAGGGAATTTATGAATGCGGTATTTTTTCCTTTCTTGTCAGTATTGAATAAAATGAATATAACTGATAACAAGTGACAAGCTATTTCATGACTGGATATTATCGCTTAACATACTGATATGCGTGTAACGACATGTCCACGACCGACTCCAGAAGTTGTGTTTGATGTGGGATTGTTAGCTGGAATACGTGAATGCTTCTCACGACAAAACATGATATGCCGCTCAGCCGCTTTTCATTGAATCGTCTCAAACAGTATTCACATTGGATAAGGTCTTTGTAAAGAATTTTTGAAATAACAAATCATAAAAAGATTAGTGAATTAAATTCGCAAAATATTGTGCACAATTTAAATCCTTATTAGCCTCAAAGGGTTCGTAAAATAACAAGATAATTGCATAATTACATGATGCAGAATGGTAAAAAGTTTACCATTTGAATGGTTACTAGATATTTTACGATTCGAGTAAAACATAACTTTTTTCATGGAGGCAAATAGAACAAGATTTCTACAATAAAACATATGTTGTACTGCAGATCACTTTCAAAAACTAAGCAATAATGTATTTTTCATGTAACAGTAGTTGAAAGATCAAGTTACACGAGGTGAAAAATTTTTGTTTAACTGTAAATACTCAACTAAGAATCGGAAACTCAACGCTGAGATTATTTTGTGCGACTATGGAGTTTTTTTCATAAAACAGCGAATTAGATAGTTTTAGTTGTGCAGAGAACCACGAATGTGAAAGAAGAATACCCAGGAGCATCTCATCACACTGAATTTTCGACTAATAGCCACTTTTCCAAATCGCTCACATATTTATGATTCATGATACACGGATATCTTCACATAAGAGCAAAGAAGTTGACCTACTCAACAAATTTTTTCTTTGAATGAAGGTGTACTTTCCTGTGATATTTCCGGTAACATTAGAAATTTCAGTAGCATGCAGGTCACCATAGTGGAAATATTTACAGCAGTTTTGGAATCTTTTTCTTATTATTATATATTATATTATTTCATAAAGTAAAAAGTCCTCAGTTCATTTTTTTGCACTAACTAATGTACAAAACATGCACCATATATTGTTGTAAAATTTCACGTCATTTGATACCTGATTTAAATTCTCAAATAGACTACATCTTTGCTGGTTAAATAAAACAAGACATTATGAAGCAAATTGACCGGAGTTTTCAGTGAAAGGTAGATGAAGGAACATCGCCTTTGTGATTAGGATGTCATCAGAAAACTTTGTGGTTGAAATATCATTGACTATGGACCTATAAGAATACTTTCTACTGAAAGGCTACAACTCAGCTTGTCATTAGGTCCGACGAAAGATATTATAATAGTGGCTAAATAATGTTGGGAAATCTACTCCATCATTTGAAATGGTTATTAAAATGGTTTTTACTTCTATCTGCTATCTTCTTGATTACTGGATACCTTCCATTTACATATTAAAACAATAACTCCTTCAAAAAAGCCTTAGTGCTTACTATTCTATGTGGAAACCGAAGAGTTGACGGCAGTAGACTAAGAGATAAGCAGTAGAAACGTTTAAAAACTGCAAGTCAATGTTTTTGAGAATCTTTCTTGCATGTTTCGAAAATTCTCTTTGAGGTACACCATATTTAAGAGTTGGTGCATGAAAAGTCCCCATACTCAGAGTGTTTCTAGTCTTATAATCCAGAAAACAGTGAATATTTGTAGCTCAAGGTGTCAGTGTTCAGAGTGAGTTGTTCTCTAAACAAAGAGTTGAGTATCAACAATCTGTAATCTACTTTTGTTCATATGGTGAAAGAAAAGCATAGGATAATCATTATTTATACCTTGATAAAATACTGAAGAAATTGAAAACCAGATTCTACATACATGACTCAAACTTTTTAAAAAAGTAGCGCAAATGTGTTTAGTTTCTTTTCCCTGAAAATTTAACTCCTTTTTCTAGTAACAGAAAAAGCACCTGTCATTTTGACTATATTCAGTGTAGACCACTTATTTATTACCATACATCTGCATAATTATAAAAAGAAAATGTACATCGTGTGGAGAGAAAAAAATACTATGTGAATCTGGTCACAGTCAATTGAATTTAGTTCACATTCTAATTGTATCCACTCGATTATCTATCGGATCGTCGACAAACCAAAGAATAAATTTAGTATGCAGTAATTAACTAATAGTTGATTACACTTCACAGAAACTTACGCTTCACATGGGATTAGGAATAAATAATCCATTCATAGCAATCCAACTAATACAGATATTTTGTACCAGTACTACTCAGCTTTCGACAAAACCTTACTGATTCACATCGCTTAACTTATTTATGTGGGAACTACTCAAAATATTCAGTGCGTAACTGTATCCAGTATATATATTTGTCGAAATTATTTTCTGCAGCATGTTAAAATTCGAATTTCAAACAAGAAATGAAAGCTGGACAACGATTTTGTGAGCCTGGAACAACTAAGTGGTTGAAATATGTATTGTGCTTGCAGAACTACAATTTTTTCTGATGTGTGACGCTCAGCTGAACAAGCTGACACAAGAAAATGGCAAGTACAAACCGACTAAGATGTGCCACTAGTTCATCAAGTGGCTGACTCTTGATTTAAAAGTGTAAAAAATTTGTATAAGATGCAGGAAATATTAGAAAAGAGGATTCAAAGGTCTAGACGAAGCTGATAACTGTAGCTGTAATGCAGTGATTACTTATATCATTCTAAATCTCAAGCATACTATCCTTCTCTGACTAAGTCCTCCACTAATAACCTTCTTTTTTGTTTATTCAGATTCAGTATCCTTCTACTTCTTTTGATCTCATCTCTTTGTCTTGTCACGAGTTTCGGTAGCCTGACAAAGAAGCTTTTGCGTAAGATTTCATATTATCGACACCACATGCTTGTGTCTCGTGGAATTCTAAAGACAATATATGAATTACTCAGGCTAATCCAAAAAGTTTAACAATTCTTTTTACTGATACTGCAACAACGGTGATAATCTGTAAAGAAAGTAAATGGCATTAGTCTTAATCTTGACAACAGTGTTTTTGATAGTTGCTTTCAACACTGTCACCGCTGTCTATGAAATGATGATAACTTCAAAGAAACTATAGGATTTTTTCTAGACGTTTTATCTCTTTGGTAATTTGGAAGGTGAGTAAATGGGTGGAAGAAAGGGTCCCTGACCAAGGTAAAAGGACAACATAAATCTCTTTAAAATTTGACTAAGTCAACAAGTCAATCAGCATCATGATGAAATCAAGCATTACTGCATAAAATCCAAAGTTTCACAACCTACATCAGCTATGAAGATACAAGAAAATGAAAAAAGTTAGAGAAATGAAAGTAATGTAATCAAAGTTCATAGAAAGAGATGAGAAAAGAAGATAGGACAGAAAATAACGAAAAATTGACACAATGGTTTCAATGAAGATATGAATACATTTTCGAAGGAGTATAAAGCTGATTAAGATTAAGGTTACTTGGTGCATTCGTATTAGAAAGATGAAAGCTTCGCTGTAAAACCTATGAGGTTTTTTCGATAGATTCAAATGAGTAAAAGTGTATCAGACTTATGAAGGACAATTTATAAAAGGTAAGAGAAGGAAAACTTCCATAAACTCTAGAATAATTCAAAAAATTACCCTACCTGATCATCAAGTTGGTTAATGTGAACTTTACTACCTTAATTATCAGTTTTAAAAATTCAAAATTCATTTCTGGAAACCTTAAGATAAACAAACAAAAAATTAAAGGAAATTAAGCCAAATTATTGTGCTACTACTAATAAATAACGAAATAATTCGACAGAAGGCAACTCCTTCATCTTCATTGAGAGAGGAAGTTACATTCTTTTGATAAAAATAACACAATTTCAACCAGTAGGTATTATGACTTCAGAATGTAAAACATAATATTGTAAGATGGTACATTGTAACATACTTTTTATTGATTTGGAACAATTATAGTAAGGAGACAAGAATTTTCTTTCATTCTTTATCCTTTTCATTTTAAAAGAATACGAGAACAAAAGAAACTGACAAGTACTTGTATTTTAGATGTTTAGAAGGGAGAATACGTTCATAGATATACATCTCAATGGATCACCATAGTGATAGTAATCTACCTTCATTTGTGTAATGTTGACGTTTGAAGACAATTAAAATCTGATCATGCATTAAAAATTAAGTTTGTTTGAACTTATACTACCTCAAGGTCATTCATATCTGTTGGAAACTGCTTTACTTAAAAATTTAATAGAAGTTATAGAGTAACTTTTTGTGTCAAAGTATGTTTATACATCCATTCACTTTTTTCTAGATCACATTGTAATTCTTGGAGAACATTGTCTTATAGCAATTTAAGAGCAATAGTTAATGCTGATCAATATTCAACTTCATACTGAAAGTATTTGAATTTGATTACTTACTGTTTATCATGTTTCTGCATTTAGGTAAATAAACATTCCAGTAATCGAAAATATTGCAGAAGTTTAGCATGTTAAGTTAGTTAAAACAGGAAAATCAGATTACCGGAACTGTTTCAGTTTAAAGGATGTCACTATGTAGATAAATATCAGTAAAATTCACCAATGTTTCTTCTGAAAACTTTGCATTTTGAAACATGTACCCACTAATTTTTTTATGAAACAATCATAAAACTGTACTTCGAAGCTAATGTTTCAACATCTGTAGTGAATGCATAGCCTTTCAGAAGATTTGGAGTACTTTAGCAAGTTACTTTTTCAGAAAGCAGATGTTCTTACTTGTTTATGGTCTACAAAGTAAGCACAAGAAATTCTGATTTTTCTTGACCAGTCTCTAAGTTATTCGAAGTACATACCGTTTGCTCTTATTTATATACGTGGGAAAAACAGGAGAAATATTTGTGCTGATAAACAGCATTCACACGTGATATAAAAACTATTGGTTTTTGTAATAGGCTCACAACTACAGCACTCACAAACACATAAAGTACTAGTACCACAAAACACACATATCTGCTCACTTGGATCAATAGTTGGTGGAGGTGGTGGGGGTAATGGTTTACCGGTTTGCTTTGCAATCGTATATTCTTTTGCCGCCCTAATAGATTGAATGAATTCTTCATGTCTTTGTCTCCAGTTATGTTTACGCGCCTCAACTTGAGCTAGTCTTCTTGCATTTTCTACTGACTTTGTCTCAGTCACCCCAACTGGTTTACGATTTTCAACTGGTATGGCTTGAATGCGCTGTTTAACACTATCAAAAGCTTTCCTCTTTTTTGTAGTGCTTTTAAGACATACTGATTGATGACGGTTCTAAATATGAAATGAAAAAAGAATGGAGGTGACACATTTGAGTGACATAATTCAAACTACCATGCCAAACAATCCATTATTACAGTATTGAGTCTTTCAAGTTTAATGTTCAACTGCTAACCTCAGCAATAAAATAAGAATACAAACAGTTGTTCAACCTGTTCACAAGCTATTTAGATTTTATGAACTATGTAGATCGTGTTAACTTTTTATTGATATACAGAGTCATTACACCATGCATCATGTTAAACTATTTACTTAGATAGCTACAGAGTACACGGGAATGGTACGCATATGCAGTTTATTCTATGCTAAGTGAAGTGATTGGGTGGTTTGACTGTTCCTTGCATAATACTGTAGAGAAGTGAAATGAGACTGTTGAAGGTAGATGAAATTATAAAGGCATAGGTTTTCGACCACAAGTATCTTCGTATCCTTGCTTGCATTCAGTAAAACAAAATATTGAGCAATTTCGATGTTTCAAAAGAAATGAAGTCAGCTGATCAGGTTGTGAACGTTGACCTATATGACTGTGATATGCATTTCACATGCCAATGTGTCGCGGATAAAACTTAAAGGTGGTCAGGTGAATAAACTTCATGTGTTTATATATGTTTGGTCAAGAACAAAAATCAACTACTAGGTACTTATGTTTTACATAATCATTGTGAAGTTAGGTTTTCCACTGTAAACAAACTTGGTTAAGTGTGAATTAACAATGAAAGCTATGATCTTTTGCTTATATCATCAAAGATTAAATTTGATAGCAGCAGAAACAGAAGCAGCTTGTTCATACTTTCGTATGTTAACTTTGAACTCAGTCTTAATAAAAGCAATCGGTGCAAACACGCAAAAAGTTTCGAAAAGAACGATTTACTTTTTCAGCAGTCCTGCTTTTCCTACTCATTTATCGTAAGACATCATTTTCCAGTGACTTTAGGTAAATAATTAAGAGAATCTACTCATGAATGTTGTTAATTAAACTGATATACCGATATGTAGGTTAGGAAATCATATGTAAATCTTCACTTGTATGTTGTTAGAAGTTGCTTTATAACAAACCTCTTACAGTTATATGGGCATTCAAAAAAAATCAGCGGTATTGAAAAAAGTCTTCCACTGAGAATAGAAACAGTGCTTTTCTCTTACTTTCAATGGCTTCTGTTAGGATTTAGTGACTACTTGCATCTTTCATGTATCATGGATTAAATTATCATGAGTAACTACTAGTTCTTCAGATTTATATTTTATATGAGGTGTGTACTGGGGTATAGAGAGTCATTACTGAGGCTCATGTTCAAAAGATACATATTATGATAAATGCAGGTAATCATTTGACTTTAATTATAGCCTATTGATGGTTTACAAAGTTATGTCAGAAATGGTAAACGATTAGTTTACAATTACTTCCAAGTAGTAGTCACTCAACATTACGATTTCTGCATAAATAAAGTTGAAAAATTGTCGTTAACTTACGTTGTATCCGCCTTTTGTCATTCTGTTTTAGTATTTGGGGGTTAAAATGGTGAGTTAAAGCAGGAGTTACCTAGAATTGATATTTTCTCAGCATCAGTCGAGTGTAATCTGATGAAAAGTTTGATGTATTTATTCAGCATTACAAATGACTAAATATTCACATTCGTTGGTGAAAATAGATATAAACTTCTTACAAATGTAATGAAGTATTCAGCTGCGATGAAAAACGGGTGTATTATATTTTTCGGAGTAGAGTTTCACGTAATCAAAGTGCTATTTATTCCTAAAGACTCCTGAATAATTACTGTGTAGGATATCATGAAATGAAAGTCATAAGTCCCTGTACAGTCCTTAGCTAAAAGAGTCCTTGTATAATTAATGCATCCGTGAAAATAATCTGTTCAGGTAAATTTGGCAGCCTTTCGAAGACTCAATGTATTATCGTAGTTGAAGATGTTAATGTTTTTACTAGATGTCCTGCTGTCGTTTCTACAGGTTGTATAACTGGAAGACCCTTGAGTGTTTAGTCTAGTAAAGTTCTAAAATATTGTGCTGATGGTTAATTATTTTTAAGGCTAGAATGCGTTTACCAAGCAGTTGTTGGAGTTTACCAAACATAGGTAGATAAGTACAAAGTAGACCATTTTATTGGGCATTTGAAAAATACTGGAACATGTTTATGTGGACTTAACCACCTTGAAAGTCTTTATGCGACTAGTATTCGTTGTTAAATAACTAAGGGGGGGCTAAAATTGTAATTTCCACGAGTTACGTTTGTACTTTTGCAAAAAAATTATCTCAGTACTTCCTTCTTCATCATTTTAGCAATAGTTAAGGGGGAACAAGTTTTCATCGTGTTGCTTAATATTTTTCTAAATCCCAATTGCATGTGGGGGAACACATTATGCAAATATTCATGTAGTCATGAAACAGTTATGGTCACAATAATCTTTAGTTAATCGGTAGTGTTTCGCTAATTTCATGATAAAAAGCTGGAGGTATTGTAAAACATCCGAGTGGTTCAATTACTACAGGCACCGTTCAACGGAAAAGGTTAAGCAGTTGTTTTTGAAAAGCATCATAAGAGTAGGGAGTTTCTTTATGTTATCTGAGAAAAAGTTCAACATAACACAGGAGCTGATAAAAATGAAGCACAAAATAATGCATGAAAACTATGAAGGTATAATGGGAGGAGTATGCTTGAAATATCAGTATATTATTGCAAAGTATTAGAGTTTATATGAAAAATGTTCAAGAACATTTCATAATTTGCTTCGTGAATTTGTATGGTGAAAGAAAACTGTAGAGGACTTCAATTTTCAGCTATATATATATATATATATATATATATATATATATATATATATATATATATATATATATGATAACAACGCAAGTCATTTATTCGTATGGTCTGAAGCATCTATCTGGCAGTCGGAATGTGCCTAATAACCTGACTCAGAAATCTTTCATTTAATGTCACTGCTTCATAGGTTGAAGGAGAATGTAGTGACAGCTTTGTATATTTGGAGTTTTTTACATTATTTTCAATAATACTTGTTATCAAGTGACAGAAAGCCTTCTAATCAAGTGGGATCACCGATGTTTCGAACCAATCGTTTCTCAAGTTCGACACAAAATTACAAGAAGACATCATGGCAGATGACAGTGAGCTCGTGAGTGCAAAACACTACGCCATAGAACTATAGGAATAAACAGCTAGAAAAGAAAAACTTTCATACTGCCTGTATCAGCTTCCATCATGAAGATTACGGGTGTTTTTCTATTCTTCGATTCTTGAGACAACATGCTCGCTAATTCGATGGTAACCTAACAACAACTGATCGTTTTATACTATTGCGCATCGTACTATTATTATCATTACCATTATTTAGATGTCATTATTATTTCATTTGAAATACTCTACAAGCAGTAAACTTGTTGAATTTCATACTGCATTAAAAACATTGTCTGAAATAAAGTGGTTCCTATTATTATTATTATTATTTTCCACTAAGATTCTTCTTCACTCTAATATGCATAACTCTAAATGCATACACATAAAAAAATACAAGCCAGTCATAGTGACTTTTCAGTCAATGATAAAAATAACATTTTTTATACAACCATTAGTAGCAATAACAATCATAATATAGCTGATGACAAAAAAATTAGAGGCAGTCATGAATTGGGGAAGACATTTAGGTTTAGTAATATTAAAGAACCAAGCTAAAGGGGTTTTAAACCTCTGAATGTTAATGGTATTTTAGGAATAGGAAATGGGTGACCTATAATGGAGTTCTGTAAGGATTTCAGATATTCTTTTCTTAGTCGTGAAGGTGGTTACATTTCAAAGGATATTTCTCAACTCATCCCTTAGATAGAGCTGAGGCTGTATTTAGTCGAACAAACAATGATGACTTTTGTGTACAAAATGAGAGCAGTGTTGTAATAATACTTGTAGTTCCCCGTTGGTATACAGAGCCGAACTGCTCGACCAGCTGATGAGCCATAAATAGGATGAAACGCGTGTCCTAGATTATTCTACTAGTCACCAAGATCACTATGAGAGCAATGTTGTTCATAGACCTTTTTAGTATTTGCAATTTCAGTTCATATAGATAATAAATGCTTTCAAATAATTTCGGCGGAAAATCATTTGTTCACACCTCTCATATTGATTTAAGTACATGACGATTAGGAGAAAATTGAAAGAATGGCACACAGACTATTACTCACTAATCAGAACATCTATCTAGTCTTATTCACGCTATCTTAATTATATGAAATTGAAATCAACAAGTGTAAAAGTCAGCTATACAAAAAAAGTGGATCGGAAACAAAAATTGAATTATTTAGTACACTTGTTTGTTATCTGTAAAATAACATGTCCAAAGTTGTTATAGATCATTTAGAAACAATGCCTACAAAGTACACACCCGATTTGTGACCCTCATTCAGATGAATAAGTGGAAAGATACAATCTTATTCAAGGAAATGAACACTGACATATAACTTGCACAAGTACAACACTTTTTAACTTCACTATTGTAACCATAATATATTCCACTGCATGTATGTTCTATTTTTTCATATATACAGCAGTGTATCAGTCTCAGTAACCAAAATTACTCTTTAAACAGATATAGCTGGTCTGAATTCTGGATATCTAAATCAAGCATATCACATTATTTGCAGTTATGAAGCATGAATCCAAATAATTCCATGTAATAGTTCTAGTTTCTTTCAACTTAGTAAATCTTGTACAGTAATACTTACACGTATTACGTCACAGAATACAGTAAATTTGATTACAGTCTACTTCAAGATGGAATTCTCGAGCAATTTCACATATGCCAGTCATTGAAAAGAATACAATGCTTATTGCAGAAGACGAGGGTCATGAATTCACTACCACAAGACAGTATATGCTGCAATTTCATAAGTCACTGCTGTTCATTTGAAAAACCAGAACAAAGTGTTAATTTAAAGTGTATTTGCATCCATAAAATGAATCCGTCGTA